GGCTCATGCCTGTAATCCCAGCTACTGGGGCTGAGGCAGGAGAATCACTTGAACCCAAGAGGCAGAGTTTAAAGTAAGCCAAGATCATGTCATGGCACTCCAGCCTGGGCCACAGAGGGAGACTCCATCTCAAAAAAAAAGAAAAAGAAAAAGAAAAGCAGATATTAAGATTCAGTTGTTTTCCATCAAGTTGAACATTAAAGAGATTTGCAAAAATGCAAAACAGTGCTACTGTTTTCTGACCATAATAGAATTAAAGAAGAAATCAGTCACAGAAAGACGTCTAGGAGAGCCCCAAGTATTTGGAAATTAATCACTTGCTTCTAAATAACCCATGAGTCAAAGAAGAAGTCTCAAGAGGAAATAGAAAATATTTTTCACTTAACGAAAGTAAAATAAAACAAAATGTATGTAAGCAATTAAGGCAGTTTTTAGGGGTAAATTTATATTAGAAAACACATATGTCATGAAAGATTATCTGAAATCTAACCCTCCACATTAACATTGTAGAAAAAAAGTAAGTGAGGCCGGGTGCAGTGGCTCACACCTGTAATCCCAACACTTTGGGAGTCCAAGGCGGGTGGATCACGAGGTCAAGAGATCGAGACCATCCTGGTCAACATGGTGAAACCCCATCGCTACTAAAAATAAAAATACAAAAATTAGCTGGGCATGGTGGCACGTGCCTGTAATCCCAGCTACTCAGGAGGCTGAGGCAGGAGAATTGCCTGAACCCAGGAGGCGGAGGTTGCGGTGAGCCGAGATCGCGCCATTGCACTCCAGACTGGGTAACAAGAGCGAAACTCTATCTCGAAAAAAAAAAAAAGAAAAGAAAAAAAGTAAGTGAAATCCAAAGCACTGAAGGAAAACAAAAAATAAAGGGCAGAAATCAATGCAATTAAAAACAGAAAAAAATCAGTGAAACCAAAAATTGTCTTTATGAAGGGTCAACACAACTGATAAACCTCTAACCAGACTAACCAAGAAAAAAGGAGAAAAGACAAAAATTACCTATATTAGGAATGGTAGAAGAGCTATCACTACAGAATCCATATAAATTTTACAACTTATATGTACAAACTACCACGACTCTCCAAAGATGAACAAGATAAAGAGGTCTTACAACAATTAAAGAAATTAAATTTAATTTAAATATCTTCCCCCCAAAAGCTCCAGGCCCAGATGGTTTTATTGGAGAATGTTATCAAATATTTTTGAAAGAAATAACATGAATTCTAAAAAATTCTCTCTCAGAAATCCTAAGAGGAGAAATATTTTTCAATTTGTTTTATGATGCCAGCATTACCTTGATACCAGAAGCCAAAGACATTACTGGGAAAAAAAGCTATAAATCATTATCCCTCATATTACAAAATGGATTCTGCCGGGCACGGTGGCTCATGCCTGTAATCCTAGCACTTTGGGAGGTCAAGGCAGGTGGATCACGAGGTCAAGAGATGGAGACCACCCTGGTCAACATGGTGAAACCCCATTGCTACTAAAAATACAAAAAATTAGCTGGGCATGGTGGCGTGTGCCTGTAATCCCAGCTACTCAGGAGGCTGAGGTAGGAGAATTGCCTGAACCCAGGAGGCGGAGGTTGCGGTGAGCCGAGATCGCGCCATTGCACTCCAGCCTCAGTAACAAGAGCGAAACTCCAACTCAAAAAAAAAAAGAAAATGGATTCTTGCAATATAAAAAGGACAATTCATCATGGCCAAGTAGGGCTTATCCTGAGAATACAAAGTCTGTTCAAAATTTTCTTGACAAAAGTAAACATCTGGCCAGGCGCTGTGGCTCACGCCTGTAATCCCAGCACTTTAGAAGCCTGAGGCAGGCAGATCCCCTGAGATCAGGAGTTCAAGACCAGCCTGACTAATGTGGTGAAACCCTGTCTCTACTAAAAACACAAAATTAGCGGGACGTGGTGGCGGGCGCCTGTAATCCCAGCTATTCAGGAGGCTGAGGCAGGAGAATAGCTTGAACCTGGGAGGTGGAGTTTGCAATGAGCTGAGATTGCACCGCTGCACTCCATCCTAGGCCTCAGAGTAAGACCACATTTCAAAAATAAATAAATAAATAAACATCCATTCAAGGTAAAAAAAAAAAAAACCAAGTCAGCAAACTAGGAATAGAAGGAAACTTCCTTAACCTGCTAAAAGGCATTTTAAAAGATATTTAATGTTAGAAGTGTAAATGCTTTCCACCAAAGACTGAGAACAAAAAAAGAATGTTTGCATTCACCACTCCTAGTCAATATTGTTCTGAAAGTTCCGGCCAGTCTAATAGGTAGGCAAAGAAAACAAAAGTCATGTTGATTGAGAAGGAAGAAAAAGAAAACTGTCCTTATTCACTAATGACATGATCGTCAAAAAGAAAAGCCCAAGAAATCTACAAGAACTCCTAAAACTAATAAATGGTTTTTACGAGGTCACAGAATCGTGTGCAAAAGTCAATCATATTTTTAAATATAAGGAACCAAAAATTAGAAATGTAAAAATGTAATCACATGTATAATATCATAAAATATGAAATACATCGGGATAAGCTGACGAAAGATGTACACGACCTATCCACTGAAACTGAACAACACTGCTGGTGGAAGTTAAGGAATGACTGAGTAAACTGAGAGGCATTTCACGTTCATGGATTAGAATATGAAATGCTGTTAAGGTGTCAATTTCCCCAAATTAATCTATAGATCTAATGTATCCCGAAATATAATCCTGGTTTGTTGGTTTGGTTTTTTTTTGGTAAACATTGTAAAGCTGATTCCAAAATTCTTATGGAGATGTTAAGTACCTAGAATAGTCAAAACAACTTTGAAAAAGAACAAGTCCGGGCATGCTGGCTCACGCCTGGAATCCCAGAACTTTGGGAGGCCAAGTGGGCAGAGCACCTGTCAGGAGTTCAATACCAGCCTGGCCAACATGGTGAAACCCTGTCTCTACTAAAAATGCAAAATGTATCTGGGCATGGTGACAGGTACCTGTAATCCCAGCTACTCAGGAGGCTGAGGCAGAGCCATCGCTTGAACCCAGGAGGCTAAGGCTGCCATGAGCTATAATCGCACCACTGTCCTCTAGACTGGGTGACAGAACAAGAGCGAGACTATGTCTCTTAAAACAAAAAGCAGAGCCTGGTGACCTGGATGTGTGCCATGAACAAGGAAGAAATCTGTGATTGTGTAAGTCAGTAAGATTTGAGGGACATTTGTTATTGCAGCAAAACCCCACTGTCTTAGTTGGCTCAGGCTGCCATTTTTGAAATACCATAAACTGGCTTAAGCATTTATTTCTCATAGTTCTGGAAGCTGGAAGCCTGCGATCACAGTGCCAGCAGGTTAGGTTCTGCGGAGGGACCTCTTGCAAGCTGCAGACTTCCAACATCTTGCATATCCACGTGGCAGGAAGGGCGCCAGGCAGGTCTCTGCTTCTTTGGGTTTTTTTTGTTGTTGTTTTTTTATTTTTGAGACAGAGTCTTGCTCTCTCACCCGGGCTGGAGTGCAATGGCACAATCTCAGCTCACTGCAACCTCCGCCTCCTGGGTTCAAGTGATTTTCCTGTCTCCACCTCCTGAGTAGCTGCAATTATAGGTACCACCATCATGCCTGGCTAACTTTTGTATTTTTGTAGAGATGGGGTTTCACCATGTTGGCCGGGTTGGTCTTAAACTCCTAACCTCAGGTGATCAGCCCTCCTCGGACTCCCAAAGTGCTGGAATTATAGGTGTGAGCCACCATCCCTAGCCTTCTTCTTTTTTTTTTTTTTTTATTTTGAGATAGAGTCTCGCTCTGTCACCCATGCTGGAGCATACTGGCATGATCTCGGCTCACTTCAACCTCTTCCTCCTGGGTTCAAGCAATTTTTGTACCTCCGCCACCCAAGTAGCTGGGATTACATGTGAGTGCCACCGCATGTGGCTAACTTTTATATGTTTTTGTAGAGACAGGGATGGTTTCTCCATGTTGGCCAGGCTGGTCTCACACTCCCGGCCTCAAGTGATCCATCCACCTTAGCCTCCCAGAGTGTTGAGATTACAGGCATAAGCCACTGCGCCCACCTCTGGCTTCTTGCACAGGTATTGATTTGGTGTGGATATTCTGTCCCCTCCAAATCTCATTCTGAAATGACTGCCAGTATTGGAGGAGGGCCCGGTAGGAGGTGTTTGGAAGAAAATCCCTCATGAATGGTTTGGTCCCCTCCCCACAGTAATGAATGAGTTCTCGCTCTGTAAGTTCCCTCCAGAGCTAGTTGTTTAAAAGAGCCTAAGCCCAGTGGCTCACTCCTGTAATCCCAGAATTTTGGAAGGCTAAGGCAGACCTCAGGTCATCTGCCCATCTCAGCCTCCCAAAGTGCTGGAATTACAGGCATGAGCCACCAGGCCCAGTCTAGACATAGGGGTTTCACCATGTTAGCCAGGATGGTCTCCATCTCCTGACCTCATGATCCGCCCACCTCAGCCTCCCAAAGTGCTTCCATTACAGGCATGAGCCATCGTGCCCAGCTGAATACTTTTTTTTTTTAAGAGACAGGATCTTGCTCTACTTAGCCCAGGCTTTAATGCAGTGGTATGATCATAGCTCACTGCAGCCTCAAACTCCTGAGGCCAGGCAATCTTCCTGGCCTCAGTCTCCCAAGTAAGTAGAACTACAGGTGCACCACCACACCTGGCTAATCTTTGTTTAATTTTTTTGTATAGATAGGGTCTCACTGTGTTGTCCAGCTGGTCTCCAACTCCCAGCCTCAACTGATCCTCCTGCCTCAGCCACTGATCTCATTCAGTGGCTCAGTGGGATTACAGGCATGAGCCGCTGCACCCAGCCATGAATTATTTTATATTTAAAGCAGTTTGAGTGTTTCTGACCCCTGCATAAAGTGATCCACCCACCTTAGAGTGGGTGGATAAAGAGTCCTGTCTGCTATTGTCCTCTGGAGACAAAATCTCTTCCCCTCAGCCCCAATAGCATATACAAAGCATTCAGCCTCGTGAGTCAAAACTGATCAAAATAACAGCCTTTATAGATGTTTCTGGAGAGATGGGGTGAGAAAAAAATAGGATATAAATAACCATTATTTACAACTTGCAGCAGTCAAGTTCTCCCAGACACCCCTTCGAGGTTGAACTCCAAAATCTCCGGGGCAGACACTGGGCACCACCAAGCAAATACAAAAACATCCACGCTCTGACTCCAGGTGCGGATGGAGGAGACAGGTCAGGCCTAGAAACAAAATGAGCAGGAAGCATTAGAGAGGCTGCCCCTCTGCCTCCCAGCAGCGTAGAATCAGTGGAGAAGCTCTGGCAGAGTCCCCATCGTGACCTCTTCAAGTCCATAGCTTTCCAGAGAAAAGATGGCAGGCAGCTCAAAACAAGAGAGATACAAAATAAAATGAAACTAAGTCAGAACTGAAAAGCGGGCTTAAAACCTTCCAGAGACTCTACCGAATTCATTTCACAGACAGAATCGAGGCAGGTAGGGGAAAAGCAGGTGCTGCCTCTGCCCAGCGCGCCCAGTGTGTGTAGCAGGGGAACAAGGGGCATCGATACCTCCCGAGCGTAGATGGAAGGAGCAGATATGACATAAATCCCTCGAGAGTCTCCATCTTCAGGACGATTACAATCTATGGAAGAGCTGTCGGAGGAAAGAAAAATCCAGACCCTTTAAATTCTCAGATCTTGTTTTCCCCTACCCATCAAAAGGGGAACCCAAAGCCAGCTAGGGGTAAGAGAGACCAACCAGGGAGATGCATCAGTGAATTGGGACAACGGCACCACGGAGATTGGCGCAAGCAGCGGGCAGCGCGAGGCGTTCATCTGCAGCGCAGCCCCTCACCTCGGGCCATCCCCGGGACCCTCCTGCGTCCTTAGGTTGTTGAGTGCATCCGGGAGTGCGTGGACTGACGGCTCCGGGGTCCCCGCCAGCAAGCGAGACCCAGCATCCTGGGCTTGGCCACGGCGGCGCACGTGGACCAGCAAGAGCGCGGCGCCGGCCACGCCCGCGGCCACCAGCAGTCCCAGAGCCGGAGGCAAAAGGAAGCGCTCCGGGTCCCCGGGCCTCAGGCCCGGCGGGGCCGCGGGCAACGCGCCTGCGCCGTCGGGGTGCACGGCGAACTCGCACCGCGCACCCATGTAGCCCGGCGCGCAGGCGCAGACGAGGCCGGAGAAGTGAGCATAGCAGCGGCCGCCGTGAGCGCAGGGGCGCGCAGCGCACGGGTCTGCGCGCTCGCGGCAATCGCGGCCGCCGAAGCCCAGCGCGCAGGAGCAGCGGTGCGCGCCGCCGCCTTCCACGCACGTGCCGCCGTTAGCGCAGGCACGGCCCGCGCAGTCGTCGAGGTCGTGTTCGCAGCGCGGACCCGCAAAGCCGGCGCGGCAGCGGCAGCGCAGGGCGTGGCCCAGGTCCAGGCAGAGTCCGCCTGTGGGAAAGGGGACTTAAGAGGACGCAGCCCGGGAGCCGCCTACCAGCCTGCCCGCCCAGTTTCGAGCTCTATCATCGCCGCACGGGGTCCCCTTTTTCTCTCTGTCTCTTAAATCAAGGGCCAGCGCCTTGGAGTGTGCCAGGAAAGCCAGCTCTCTTCCTTTCTACCTGAAGAAGTTTGGGAATGATTAATTTAGCGCCACCTCTCTGGCTCTCTGTGCCCTTGTCTCTTGCTCCCTTGGCTTGGATCATACTTCAGTAATAAACAGCTCCTAGAACTATGTGTTTGAACCCTCTGGCTTTCTTCTGCCTAGAATGCCCCTCCTCTCTTCCCTTCCTCCTTTTCTCCCATTTTTCCCCACCTTTTCTCTTCGCTAGCCCACCCCTCAGGTCTCCACTCCGATGCTCCTTCCTCCATCCCCGCCCTGATCGCTGCCCTGTGCTCCCAGATCACAGCCCTGACCACCCACCCTGTCTGAGGGTGTCTGTTTTCCTCTCTGGGATGGTACCCCCAGGAGGGCGTAGCCCAGAGATGTCCTGTTCCCTGTGTGTCCCTAGTACCACACACCCCGGAGAGAACGCTCAGCGTTTGGGAGAATTATTGCATTCAGTCCAAGAAGAGACACAGCAAGCCCTTTACATTCCTATCTTATTTAATCTTTTTTCTTTTTTTTTTTTTAATTCAGTCTCTCTCACTCTGTCTCCCAGGCTGGAGTGCAGTGGTGCGATCGCGACTCACTGCAACCTATGCCTCCCGGGTTCAAGCAATTCTCCTGCCTCAGCCTCCCGAGTAGCTGGGACTACAGGCTTGCGCCACCATGCCCAGCCTCATTTAACCTTTTAGCACCGATCCCAGGTCTCTTCCCTGTTCAGAACCTTCCTGTGGCTCCTTCTCACTCAGGGGAAAAGTGAAGTCCCCCTTATTGTGACCCAGGGCATCCCACGAGATTCGCCTCAATCTTGTCTCAGTCCCTACCTCATCTCGTCAGTGTGACCACACGGGCTCCCTTGCTCATCCCCAGCACAGCGGGCAGCTTCCTACCACCTCAGCTCTACCAGGGCAGGATTTTGTCTGTTTCATTCCCTACTGTATCCCCCGTGCCTAGAATCAGGGCTGGCACACAGTGAATTCTCAGTAAATAGTTGTGACATAGGGAATGTCTCCTCACCCATTTTATAGAACAAACAGGGTTGGGGGTGGAAGGTCAGGTCCCCAGGCCCTAAGGTTAGAAGAAGCAAAGCCAGGATCCCGGCCCAGGATTGTCTGAGCTATGCAGGGCCCCCACCCCCTCCCTGGCCGTTCTGGCCTCCAGGCCTCACCATTTCGGCATGGCTGCAGGCTGCACCGGTCCACCCTCTTCTCACAGTTGGAGCCTTGGAAACCAGGTGGGCAGTGGCAGACATAAGCAGAGTCAGGGTCTGCGCCCCCAACACACAAGCCGCCGTTGAAGCAGGGTCCATCCGCGCATGTCACCCCGCTCACCTGACACAGCCGCCCGTAGAACCCACGCGGGCAGGTGCATTCAAAGGACCCGGGTGTCTCCTGGGAAGAGACAAGAGGACTTCGGAAGGGAGTTTCCTTGGAGAAAAATTCCATCCCCCTCCTCAGTCCTAACCATTGGTTGCTCCTTATCCAGTCCCAAGTCCCACTGTGCAGGGGCCACTCTAGAAGGTCCTGGCAACATCCTCTCAATCCACTCCACGTTTTTGTGTCTGCCCATGTGACCCCACAGGGAGGAAGCTCTGGGGGCCCAAGTGACCCCATTCCCACTACTACACCTTTGCCTACCAAAGCCTGCCTGCCTGGTCATTCCCTCCCTGCTTCTGTCCACACTGACGAGTCCTACTAGGAGGTCCTAGATCTCAGCCCACCTCCTCCAGGAAGCCTTCTCTGGATCTCTCCTTCCCAGGCCCTCCCCCTAAGTATTTAAGCCCTGAGTGTGTCCATGTCCAGGTGGCCCACACTGGGCCCTACTCTCTCGCAGCACTCCATGCCAGGCTCACTCACTGCCACCTCTGCACCCTTGCTCCCTGCGGGCCCCTCACCTGGACACCCTTTTCTAATCACCTCCCAGAAGCCCCCGCCCTGGGCCATCTCCAGGAAGCCTTCTCCCATGTTTTCACTCCCTGTCCCCCAGATCCCAAATCTCCAACCTATTTGTCCCTACCACCCACTACCTTGGGCCCTGAATCAGTCTCAGTCCCACAGTGGGGGCAGCTGCGGCCCCACATGGCTCCTCATCATTTCCACTCCCACACCTTTCGGGGCCACCCACTGAGGCTGCTCTCCCCAGTTCCATCCCCATCACTTAATCCTACTTCAAGGCCCTAGATGCAGGCTGGATGCCACCAGGAAGCCCTCCCTGATAGTTATTCCCAGACCTCCTCCCCAGGCTAGTGTCTCATGGAGCCCCAGGGAGGGGGCCGTGGCTTCCAGGGTAAAGTACTAAGCAGGACAAGGTGGGAAGGGGTGATACTGACGCTACAGCTGCCCCCGTTGGCACACGGGTTCCCATCACAGGGCCCAGGCCCAGGGACAAGGCATCTGGTGTTGGCAGAGGACGGGCCCCTAGGGCTGAGGCAGCTACTGGTGGACACAGGGACCGTGCAGAGGGGTCCAGTCCAGCCCTCCAGGCATCGGCATTCACCAGGCTGCTCACAGAAGCCGTGCTCCGGACTGCAGCCTGCTTGGCACTCTGCTATGGGGGACAGAGGCGGAGAGAAAGGGATCACCAATGTTGGGGAGGGCCAAGGGCAAGACGGAAAGCAGGGAGGTTTCTGAGCAAGTTCCCTGCCCCACCTTGCTTCATTGTTGTGACAGATAATCATCAGGACTAGATGGTATTGTGACCCTCCCCCCAGTTTACAGACAGGGAAACTGAGGCCCACAGAGGCGAGATGACCAGCCCACCTAGGAAATGAAGGAGTGAGGATGGGAACACAGGCCATTGGGCTGGAGACTGTACTCTCTGAAGGAGGATGGGCCGGGGGCACCATGGTCAGAACGTGTGGACAGGAGAAAGGGAGGGAATTTGGGATTGGTGGGGGGACACCTGGCCTTTCAGGGAAGATGGGAGTGTCTTGAATTAGGGTGGCTCTGGGAAGATCTGGATTAGCCTGGGAGTCCCAGGGTCTTGATAGGGCTCTGAGATTAGGGGAGGGGTCTGAAGAATCCCAAGCTTTAAGAAGCCATGGGTTCTGGCCTGCAATTTCAGGGACAGAGAATGGAGGATTCCTTGGCGGGAGTGGACTGGGAGGAGTCTCCAAAGCTTCCGGGTGGGAGTCAGGAGGGCCGCAGAATTAGAAGAACTTTGGGGTCCTAGCATCGGGACGTGGTGTGAGTGTGGGTTAGGAAAAGAACTGGAGGGTGCCGGCATGGGAAATGGGTGTGGGCTTCCTATCTGAGATAACAAGAGGGCTGGGAGAGGGAAGGAGGCTGGAGTAGCAAGGCAGAGCTGAAGAGAAGTCTAGGGTCCTCAGTTTCCCCGAAGGTGGCAGCTGGATGGTTAGCGGGGTTTAGGGTACATCCACAGCAGTTAGCGGGTTCCCCAGCTCCCTGGAGAGGGGTGCCTGTGGTACGTGGTGGGGGCTCTAGAGCACGCTGAAGAGGGTGACTGAGTTGTGAGAAGGGACTGGGGGCCGCGAGTGACGCTCAGGAGGAGCCGGGGTCCCGGCTGGGACGGGGTGGGGTCGAACGCAGGACTCACTTGGCGCCTCACACTCGTCCTCCAGCTGTGCGCAAGGGCGCAGTCCCGAGCCGCACCGCGAGGGGGCGCTGCGTGGGCGGCAGAGGCGCGTGCACGCGGCCCCGACGGCTGGCGGTTCGCAGCGCGCGCGATACGAGCAGCGCAGCTCCCAGGCGCCTGCGCGCTGAACGTCCCGGGCCCACGGGCCCCCAGCTGCCAGGCGCCGCCGGCCTGCCATGCGCGCAAGCAGGCTCCAGGCGGGCCCTGCGGGGAGAGGCAGAGGAGGGGCGCTGGGGTGGGCCCGGCCGGACGCGGGTGCACACCGAACACCCCGGCTGCACTCTCCCTACCCCTCCCAGCGAAGCCAAAACACCCCCATGGAGCCCTGGGGTCCTTGGACCTCACGAGGAGAATGGCAGTCACCCTCCTTACTAGCAAGGCTGCGAACTCCCCAGTGCACCCTGGGACCTGCAATGTCGGAGTCCCCTCTATACCCTAGGTAACAGTTCTCTCGGCCAGGCGTGGTGGCTCAAACCTGTAATCCCAGCAGTTTGGGAGGCTGAGACAGGTGGATTAACTGAGGTCAGGAATTCAAGACCAGCCTGACCAACATGGTGAAACTATTTCTACTAAAAATAAAAAATAAATTAGCTAGGCATGGTGGCACGCCTGTAATCCCAGCTACTCAGGAGGCTGAGGCAGGAGAATCACATTCATCTAAGAGGCGGAGGTTGCAGCGAGCTGAGATGGCACCATCGCACTCCAGCCTGGGTGACAGAGCGAGACTCCACCTCGGAAAAAAAAAAAAAAAAAAAAGCAGTTCTCTTATAGAGAGCGAGAACTGGCCAACGTAGTGAAACCGTTTTTACTAAAAATACAAACAAAAGTAGCTGGGCATGGTGGTGGGCACCTGTAATCCCAGATACTCGGGAGGCTGAGATAGGAGAATTGCTTGAACCTGGGAGGCAGAGGTTTCAGTGAGCCAAGATCACGCCACTGTATTCTAGCCTAGGTGACAGAGTGAGACTCCATCTTGGGGAGGGGGGGCGGGGCAGGGGGAAGCTTCACATAGAAGAACCAGAAGTAACTCATACTGCATCCTGAGCTCTCTACGTCAGATAGTGATGAAGTAGGGCTGTGAAATGCTATGCCCTGCTCTGGTGGCTTTGGTAGTAACAGCGTTTCCCCCACTTCATCTGGTACCAGGACCACAGACTGCTACATCCAGTACCAGGACATGTCTGTGCCTGAGATGGCAAGAGCCCTGGAGCAGCCAACACCCGGCACCACATCCCAGGAGCTGTGATGACATCATAAGACCTACAGACAACACCATCAACCCCGAGTCTCACATGGGCCCCAGCTCCCCACCAGTCCCAAGGCAGAAGACACTCACCTCCAATCTGATCTCCTAACTCCTGTCTCCAGGTTTCAATGATGAGAGAGAAGGTGCCCTGGTTGGGTGAAGGAAGGGGGAATGAAGACAGTGGTTAGGGTAAGTATTCAATGAAGGCCAGAGTTCAGGAGGGAAGGATGATGGCCAGGCTAGGAACAGAGCAAGCAAGGGACAATCCCCAGAGGGGCCAGCCCAGCCCAGGGAGGGAATGACATCTGTGGCTTTTCTTTTTTTTTTTTTGAGACAGAATCTTGCTCTGTTGCCCAGGCTGGAGTACAGTGGCACAATCTCAGCTCACTACAACCTTCGCCTCCCAGGTTCAAGTGATTCTCCTGTCTCAGCCTCCTGAGTAGCTGGGGCTATAGGCCCGCACCACCATGCCTGGCTAATTTTTATATTTTTAGTAGAGATGGGGTTTCACAATGTTGGCCAGGCTGGTCTCGAACTCCTGACCTTGTGATTCGCCTCAGCCTCCCAAAATGCTGGGATTACAGGCATGAACTACTGCACCTGGCCCTTTTTTTTTTTTTTTTTTTTTTTTTTTTGAGACAGGGTCTGTCTCTGTCAACCAGGCTGGAGTGCAGTGGAGCGATCTTGGCTCACTGCAACAGCCTCTGGGGCTCAAGCAATCCTCCCACCTCAGCCTCCCGAGTAGCTGGGACTACACGCGCATGTCACCATGCTCCACTAATTTTCATTTATTTATTTATTTAGTAGAGACAAGTTCTCATAGGCCAGCACTTTGGGAGGCCAAGGCAGGTGGATCACCTGAGGTCGGGAGTTCAAGACCAGCCTGACCAACCTGGAGAAACCCCGTCTCCACTAAAAATACAAAATTAGCTGGGCGTGGTGGCACATGCCTGTAATCCCAGCTACTTGGGAGGCTGAGGCAGGAGAATCATTTGAACCTGGGAGGCGGAGATTGCAATGAGCCAAGATCCTGCCATTGCACTCCAACCTGGGCAACAAGAGCGAAACTCCGTCTCAAAAAAAAAAAGAGAGAGAGAGAGAGACGAGTTCTCACTATATTACTGAGACTGGTCTCAAACTGCTGGGCTAAAGCTATCCTTCTGCCTAGGCCTCTTAAGTGCTGGAATTACAGGGCGCGCCCCTGAACGTGGCTTGCTTGATGGAGCACATACTATGTGGTAAGCACTTTGTTCAAGAGACGTGGTTGAATCGCTCAAAAGAGACCCTTGTGAGGTACCAGGATGATCCCATTTTATAGCTTAGGAAACTGAGGCTGGAAACCAGGCAGTTACTTGTCCAAAAAGACAAGGATCTAGAATTCTAATACAGGTCTGTTCATCTTTGTGCCTTTGGGGCCAGGCGCAGTGGCTCACGCCTGTAATCCCAGCACTTTGGGAGGCTGAGGTGGGTGGATCATCCATCTGACGTCGGGAGTTCAAGAGCAGCCTGGCCAACATAGAGAAACCAGTCTCTACTAAAAATACAAAAAAATTAGCCAGATGTGGTGGTGCATGCCTGTAATCCCAGCTACTCAGGAGGCTGAGGCAGGAGAATCGCTTGAACCCAGGAGGCAGAGGTTGCAGTGAGCCAAGATCACACCATTGCACTCCAGCCTGGGCAACAAGAGCAAAACTCTGTCTCAAAACAACAACAAAAAAATCTTGGTGCCTTAGGGTTGTGGGGATGGGAGACAGGATTTTGGAGGTGAAAGAGTAATTAATACAGGACCCAACTGAAAGAACTAAGGACAGAAAAAGAGAGAGAGAAGGTATTAGTGGTCCCCAAGACAAGGTGAGAGGTTTGGGGATAAAGATGAGGAACCCAGTTTTTAGGGATCCCCAAGGAGCAGAGATAGAGTTCCTTGAGTTTAGGATTCCAGAGGTTGAGATTCTGGGAATTTGGGGTCCCAGCATGCAGGGCTGGGGAATCAGAACATTTAGAATCCCCAGTGTGCAGGGTTTAGGGGTCTGGGAATGTGGGGATCATAGAGTTACTGGTCTGGGAATTTGGTCCAACCCCTGGGAGGCAGGGAGGCAGGATTAGGGTCTTGAAAGCTGGAGGGGAGAGGTGGTGGGGGTTTCAGTGGCAGGATTAGACCTCCAGCAGCGGGAGTACCCCGGGGGCAGCACTCACCGGCCAGGCGTCCCGGAAGGGCACCCGCAAGAGGCCGTCGGGCAGTGGCAGATCAGGCGCGGGTGCTCCGGCCTGCTCGGTGTAGGCGGGTCCACGCGCACTCAGCGCCGTGCCCGGGGCGCACGGGGACTCGGTGGCCTCCTCTGAGAGCCCAGGTTTCAGGCAGACTCTGAAGAAGAGGCGGCAGGGGCCCCGGGCACTGCAGGGGGACCGCGGGGCCCCCGGGCCTGGACCCGGCCCGAAATAATGAATCTGCAGTTCGAAGACGCCAGCGGGCCGTGCCTGGGATGAAGGCAGGAGCAGGGTGAGGCAGCCGGGGGACCCAGACGTCCCGTCTGCCCCGCGCCCCCTCCTCAGGACCTTCAGGTTGCACCCCCCCACCCCACCCCCGCATTCATCCCTTTCCCCGCCACCTCCCGCCTGGCTCTGACCTGGGGGAGAAAAAAGAGCGCTAGGATCACGGTCTGGGACAGGAGCCGGGACATCGGTGGGAAGACCATGGCCTTCTGGGGGGGTCTCGGGAGTCGCAGCTGCTGGCTTTCGAGCCTTATATCTGAGGGAATGGCCCCGCCCCTCAGGCAGCTACCCGGCCCCAGGAGACCAAGGGAGGGTGGTTGGTCACCCGGGAAGGGGAGCGTGCAAAGCAACAGAGAGATTTCGTCTGTGGTCGTGGGCACGGGCCAGGTCGTGAGTGGGTTATCCCGCGACTTTGTGTGTGGCTGGCGTGGGGTGGGGTTTCGGGGCTAAGCCTGTGTGTGAGGTTGTACGTGATTTTAAGATTCGGTGTGTGTGGTATGGACCAGCGCTGCTGGAGGGTGCACACGACTTTGTGACTGCGTGTCCACGTGGGCCTGCGCGACTCAGCATATGCCTGGAGTTGTCTGTGAGTGACACAAGTATGAAGTTGTAAACAATTCTGATTCTGCACGCACCCCCGAGTGGGAAACTAGATGTGTACACGACTTCATGACTGTGTGGCGCTTCGAGATTCTGTGGCTGCGTGGATGCTTCTCTGTGCGTGTTTACGGGAGATCCTAAGTAGGCATACAAACCTGTAACTTTGTGCTCTGTGCGGGTGTGGTAGAGGCTGTGCAAGGTGGGGAATGGCTGAGGACGCCTGTGTGTGAATGAGACTGGGTTTGGGAGGTCCACGGATGTAGCCACGTGTGGACACGATGAAGATGGAGTTCTTTGTAAACCCCTGTGTGCGTTCGTTTGTGTGAATGAGACTGGGTTTGAGAGGTCCACCGGTGTAGCTGTGTGTGGATATGAAAATCTGAGGCTCTTTGTGTACCCCTGTGTGCGGGCGTGTGTGTGTTCCCCTTCCCCAAGACAAAGGCGCCTTCCCAAACCCCGCATCGCGGACGCACCAGACGCCAGGGCGAGAAGCCCGGCCTCAGAGGGGGCTCCCAGCTGTATGTAAATGCCGCCATCTGCCGGGCGGCCGCGCCCCTCCCCCTTCGGGCCGCAGCTGGGCTGCCCGTTTGGCCTCCGGAAGGTGTGAGGAGCAAATGGGCAGGAAATTCCGTCCTCACGTACTGGAACCCGCTCCCCCACCCCAGAAGAATGGGGGTGGGGGACACCAGGGCCCTTCAGAAATCCTTTAGTATGCCAGGACCTCAGCAGGAAAAGCTAATTAGGAGCAGATGTCCCAGCCCCTCTGGTCATAATTGCTCCCTGCCAGGAATGGGGCAAAGCCCTTAAGCTGGGCTTTTTTTTCCCCCCAAAGTAAAAGAATTTAGTGTTTGGAGACTATTATAGGGAAAAATAGAGTTTCCATTTATGTTTTTCTTCCAGAGAACTATGCTGCATAGCCCAGCAGAGCCAGGCATAGTAGGTGCTCAGTTTTTGTTTTGGGGTTTTTTTGTTTTTTTTTTTTTTTTTTTTTTACAAGTTTTGCTCTTGTTGCCCAGGCTGGAGTGCAATGGCAAGATCCTGGCTCACTGCAACCTCCACCTCCTGGATTCAAGCGATTCTCCTGCCTCAGCCTCCCAACTGACTAGGATTACAGGCACCTGCCACCATACCCTGCTAATTTTTTATATTTTTAAATAGAAACAGGGTTTCACTATGTTGACCAGGCTGGAGTGCCATCTCTACTCACTGCAACCTACGCCTTCCAGTTTCAAGCGATTCTCCTGCCTCAGCCTCCCACGTACTGGGATTACAGGTGCCAACCACCACACCTGGCTAATTTTTGTTTTTAGTAGATATGGGGTTTCACCACGTTGGCCAGGCTGGTCCCAAACTCCTGACCTCATGATCCGCCCGCCTTGGCCTCCCAAAGTGCTGGGATTACAGGTGTGAGCCACTGTGCCCAGCTCCACTCCCTTCTTTAATTCCTTTTCCACCATTCAGACTTCACCTCCTCTAGACAGCACTCCCTAACACTCCCCAGGGGCATCAAGCGCCTCTGTGCTCCCACATCCCCCTGTGATTCTTTTGTTCCACACGAATTCTCTGCCTGTGCCTCCCTCAGCCATGACCACTCTGGCCTTTGAGGTCTTTAATTTTCTGAGGTGGGGTCTCAGTCTGTTGCCCCAACTGGGGTGCAGCAGCACTATCCTAGCTCATTGCAACCTCCACTTCCTGGGCTTAAATGATCCTCCCACCTCAGCCTCCCAAGTAGTTAGGATTACAGGCATGAGCCAGCATGCCTGGCTCATTTATTGTTTTTGGTAGAACTGGGGTGTCCCTTTGTTGCCCAGGCTGAACTCCTGGGCAAAACCAGTCCTCCCACCTTGGCCTCCCAAAGTGCTGAGATTATAGGCATGAGCCACCATGCCTGGCCCTGTGGGGTTTATCTAAGCACAAATTAGACCGTGTCCTTCACCTGCATTAGACTCTTCTATAGCCCCCTAGTGCCTTCTAAATATATAAGCTTCTAAGGCTGACATTTGAGACCCGCCTTCCCCATCCCCCTTGCTCAGACAGGTTATGTGGCCCCAAGGAGTAAAGCCAGACCTTGTAAACCAAAGTAACCTGGAGGCAAATTAGGTCTCATGTTGGATTTGGTGAGAGAATAAGCTTCCCATCATAGAAGATATTTTAGCAGAATTTGGACAGCCAGCTGTGGGAGGAAGCAAATACCTGCTCTGGATGATCATGGGGGGGAACACATTCCAGGTCTCAGATATCTCATTTTCTTTTTTTTCTTTTTTGAGATGGAGTCTTGCTTTGTCACTCAGGCTGCAGTGCAGTGGCTTGATCTTGGCTCACTGCAACCTCCACCTCCAGGGCCGAGGTCAGGAGTTCGAGACCAGCCTGGCCAACGTGATGAACCCCCTATCTACTAAAAATACAAAAATTAGCCAGGTGTGGGGGCACATGCCTATAGTCCTAGCTACTTGGGAGCTGAGGCAGGAGGATCACTCAAACTCGGAAAGCAGAGGTTGCAGTGAGCCAAGATTACACACACTGTATTCCAGCCTGGGTGACAGACTGAGATTCCATCTCAAAAAAAAAAAAAAAAAGGTACAGACCCCTTCCATCATTCCTGCAGACTTCCTCAAGCTGGGGAGGGCTGAAGATTTCAGGAAATATTCCACTGGCTTGCAGACAGTGCACCCCAGGGCAAGGGGTCATGGTATAAATTTTAATTATTTGTAGAGACCCGAGAGGCTTAAAAAAAAACGTGGAGTGCATTCAGTCTGAATGCCTTTTACAGAGTTCTGAATGCCTTTTAATTATCATCACACACACCAGGAAAGGTTGGGTTGTCCTAGAATATTTAACCAGTATTAATGCTGGTGCAGGCTACAGTAGGAGAAACTGGGACAGTGGGGGGCAACGGGGGCAGGGCAAGGGAGATAAAGTCAAAGTGGTTAAGGTACTTCTTTTTTTTAAGACTGAGTTTGGTTCTTGTTTTCCGGGCTGGAGTGCCATGGTGTGGTCTCAGCTCACTGCAACCCAACCTCTGCCTCCTGAGTTCAAGCGATTCTCCTGCCTCAGCCTCCTGAGTAGCTGGGATTACAGGCATAAGCCACCATGCCCGGCTAATTTTTTCATATATTTTTTAGTAGAGATGGGGTTTCACTATGCTGGCCAGGCTGGTCTCCAACTGCTGACCTCAGGTGATCCACCCGTCTTGGCCTCCCAAAGTGCTGGGATTATAGGTGTGAGCTACCACACCCAGTCAAGATATTTCAATCTGTGAGTAACCCATATGGCCTGGTAACAGCAAGCCCCTGGGAATATATACATATAACCTTCGTAGACTGTCCCGTTCACTCCTCACAACCACTCTAACATACTACCATCACCCCATTTTAGAGATGAGGAAACTGAGGCAGGCGTGCCTTGCCTATGGTTCACACAGCTACCATTTGAATGCTACATGGGAGTGCCTCATTTGGTTCCCAAAGCTAGTCTATGAAACAGGTACTTCCCCCCCGCCCCCCCCGCCAAAAGAGGGTCTTCCCATGTTGTCCAGGCTGCTCTCCAATTCCTAGCCTCAAGCGATTCTCCTGCCTTGGCCTCCCGAAACGTTGGGATGACAGGCATGAGCCACCGCACCTGCCCTGTTGTATTTTATAAATGTAGAAACTGAGGCACTGGGAGGTGAAGTAACTTGCACAGGATCACAGCCAGCCTAGAAGTCGGCAAGCTTGGATTTGAACTGACACAATCTGGAATTCAAACTCTTAGGTAAAACGCAGTGACACTGTCCAATACAGGAGACACATATGACTATTTAAATTAACCAAAAGTAGCTAGGCCCAGTGGCTCACTCCTGTAATCCCAGCATTTGGGGAGGCCAAGGCAGGAAGATTGCTTGAGCCCAGGAGTTCCACACTGCAGCAATCTAGTTACACAACTGCACTCCAGCCTGGGCGACAGAGCGAGACCCTGACTCAAAAATAAATAAATATATATCTATATATTGTTGGAGATAGGGTCTCGCTCAGGAAGCCAGGCTGGAATGTAGTGGCATGATCACGGCTCACCACAGCCATGACCTCCTGGGCTCAAGGGATTCCTCCCACCTCAGCCTCTCAAGTAGCTGGGACTACACAGGTGCACACCACCTCATTGGGCTAATTATTTTGTATTATTTTTAGAGACAGGGTTTCACCATGTTGCCCAAGTTGATCTCGTACTCCTGGGTTCCAGCAATATTCCTGCTTCAGCCTCCCAAAATGTTGGGATTACAGGAATACACCACTGCGCCCAGCCTAAAACAAAATTAAAAATTCAGTTCCTCAGTCACACTAGCCACATTTCAGAATCACAGAAAGTTCCAGTGAACACTGCCACATATCTGCCTGTTTTAGTTAGGAGCCAACATTTTAAAATAGGGAGATTTAATATAAAAACTCCAATTCTGGATGGGTACAGTGGCTCACACCTGTAATCCTAGTGCTCTCGGAGGCCAAAGCAGGAAGACTGCTTGAGACCAGGAGTTTGAGACCAGCCTGGGCACCAAGATCCCATCTCTACAAAAAAACCTGTTTAAATCACACCCGTGGTCCCCGAAGGTATTCAGGAGGCTGAGGCAGCAGGATCACTTGAACCCAGGAAGTCAAGGCTGTAGTGAGCTATGATCATACCACTGCACTCCAGCCTGGGAAACAGTGAGACTCTAGTCTTTAAAAAAAAAAAAAAAGCCTGGCACAGTGGTTCACGCCTGTGATCCCAGCACTTTGGGAGGCCGAGGCAGACAGATCACAAGGTCAAGAGATCAAGACCATCCTGGCCAATATGGTGAAACCCTGTCTCTACTAAAAATATTTTTTAAATTAGCTGGGCGTAGTGGCGCACGCCTGTAGTCCCAGCTACTCCGGAGGCTGAGGAAGGAGAATCACTTGAACCCGGGAGGTGAAGGTTGCAGTGAGCCAAGATCATGCCACTACACTCTAGCCTGGTGACAGAGTGAGACTTCATCTCCAAAAAAAAATAAAAATAAAAATCCCAATTTCTTGCGTCTTTTGAACAATTGGTACATCAAGCAACTCCAGGCCCCCTTTTTCCCAGGGCCACACTGGCTGGAGCCAAGCAGTAATTGCCCTGTAGAGAGGGGTGATCTCCGGTCTGCCAGAGCCCCTGGGCCTGTAACTCACATCATCTCCACAGCAGCCTGGCAGTTACCTGTCTTTAAAGCCAAGTGCCATCCCCTCTTCCCTTCTCCACACATGGGGAATCTGCAGTCAGAGAGGGAGATGTATTTTTTCCAGATCACACAGCACACAGGAAGACACAGCTGAGGGTTTTCAGATTCTCAGACCAGGGTTAACAATCAGCTCTGACCCAACAAAGCACCCCTCTGTGCTTGACAGCCGATCAGCCGTGGTGGGACGGTGACCCAAGTCCCAGACCTCACCCCAATGCCCCCATCTGGAGACTTTCCAGACACAGCAGGTGTGGCATCTGGGATGTACTTTATTGGACAAGTGGTGGCCCAAGTCTTGGTCTGGAAGCGCTGGGGCCCTGCACCCAGGCACTGAGTTTGAGGAGGCCCAGAGGTCAGGGCTGTTTGGAGCGAGGCCACAAGCGGCTGGTGAGGGAGCTGAAGAAGAGGTTCTGCTTGTTGGACTTGGAGAGCTCGGCCAGGCGCTGCTGCTCCTCCTGGAGAGACGGAGGAGAGGGTGAGCCCAAGGTGGACAGAGCCTCCTCCCAGACACCCAGGTCCCCAGGCCTCAGCACAGGGGCCACATTCCCTTTTGACTTCTGCCAAGACCAGACCCCTTTCCCCAAACCCTGGGGCCCCCAGCCCCCAGTGCAGACACTGGGAAGAGTCAGCCCTGAGCCGCAGCTAGCAGTGCAGGCTTCAACGTTTGGAGGATGCCAGACTCAAAAACCAGGCCCTTGAGGTATTCAGGCCTGAACTTCAGTAGCTTCTCAGGCCCCAGACCCTCATAATCCCCTTCCACAGATCCCAGGGTCCCCTCCCTGAACCTGAGATCCTGTCCCAGACCCTGTTACCCAAGGTGAATGCTGGTGAGATCCCAGGTCCAAACCACATGGCCCTCCTCACCAGACTGCATCGTCCTGCCCCTGGACCCCCTGAGCCCCATGACCCCTGTCTGGATTGGGGGAGTGGTCCCCAGGCCCAAATCTCTAGGGACTTCTCTGGGCACTCAGAGGCTCCCAACACTAGGAACCTAACCTAGAATCTGGTTAACCTCATCCTAGACCCCTGGAAATCTTACCCAGATGCAATCCATACTCAGTCCAACTCCCAAATTACCAGGATCCCACCAAGACCATCAGAACTCTCCCTATAGCCTTGGGCCACGTGCCCAGGATCCTCTTTCCAGAACTGATCAAAACCCACAGTCCATCTCCACAAGGTGCCCCCAGACCTACTCAAGACAATTAAGGGCAAGCCCTCTCTCAGACCAATCTCAAATGCTCTCCTGTCTCCTGTTCTCAGAGCAGCCAGCAGAATCAATGCATCCCCTCAGTCCGGCAGCCCTACAGGACTGCTGTGTTATACTCCCTGGTTACAGAGACTGAGGCAGAGAGGAGGTATCTGCTCACAGTCACACAGCCAAGCCAGGAGTGTGGAAACAGGCTGCCCCAGGCTCCTCGTCCAGGAGCCTCAGAGCCAATCCTCCACTCTGGGCATCTGAGCACCAACCTGCTCTAGCCGGCTTTGCCGCTGTTTGAAAGCCGCCAGTGGGTCATCCTCCAGGGCATAGTGCTCCAGTACAGTCCGCACGTCCTCCACACCGTTCAGTGCAATGGCTGTGGGCACAACAGGAGGTGGTCAGCCAGGCTTCTGAAGGTCAGAGGGAGACAGGGTCCACAAGGCGAAGGTCCCACACTGGGGCAGGGGGGAGGTCAGTGCTACCTGGAACGCTTCTATACGCCCTGAAAGGGCTCCCCTGAACATCCCCAAGTATCCCCTAAACATTCCATGAACATCCTAAGAAGCTCCTGGAGACTCCAAGGTGCTCAGGCACCTCCTGCACCTCAGTCGCCCAAGCCAAGAATCAGGCATTTATCCTTCCTCTTCAGAGTCAGGGGGTCTGGGGTCAGCCTTACTCTTGAGAAAGGCTGACAGGTCCAACAAGACCCGGTCATCAGAGTTGCCATCCCAGGGCCGCAGGGCGACGCCGTTATAGGGCTGCAGGCGGAAGGCTTCCTTCTTACAGTCCACAACTACTACTCGAGCTGGGTCCCGATTCAGACATGAAATGTCCTGGAAGTGAGTGACAGGTCAGGTCAACATCTGTGTCCCACTCTCCCCACATTGAGACAACACAAAACATACACACACAGCATCACACACACACTAGGACAGCCACGGCAGGGCCTCTCCAAGACTGGGCTTGGATGATGGCATCAACCCCCACAGGGGACAGGCATAGTAGCTTATGCCTGTAATCCCAGCACTTTGGGAGGCCTAGGCAGGAGAATCACTTGAACCCAGGAGTCCTAGCCCAGCCTAGGCCACAACAATGAGACCTCGTCTCTACAAAAAATTTAAAAATTAGCTAGGCACGGGCCAGGTGCGGTGGCTCACGGCTGTGATCCCAATGCTTTGGGAAGCTGAGGCAGGCGAATCACCTGAGGTCAGGAGTTCAAGACCAGCTGGCCAACATGGTGAAACCCCATCTCTACTAAAAATACAAAAAATTAGCTGGGCATGGTGGCAGGCACCTGTAATCCCAGCTACTCGGGAGGTTGCAGTGAGCCAAGATCATGCCATTGGACTTCAGCCTGTGCAACTAGAATGAAACTCCGTCTCAAAAAAAAAAATTAGCCAGGCATGGTGCTGCATGCCTATAGGCGCAGCCACTCAGGAGGTGGGAAGATCACTTGAGCCCAGAAGGTTGAGACTGCAGTGAGCCGTGTTCACACCACTGCACTCCAGCGTGGGTGACACAGCAAAACCCTGTCACAAAAACAAAAAAACCCCCAGGAAGTTGGGGCACTAATCACATAGATTCCTAGACCCAGGGCCTAGCACACACACAAGTGATTAGGAAGTTCCTTGCAGCCACACCCAGGGAACCACACACAGACTGGCACCCAGACAGACCATTCAAGACCCTCGATCACAGCCCATGCATTTCTGAATTCCCAAGAACACCACAGACTCCCTCAAGACACAGACAGAAATGCAACAGATACATGGACACTTGGAGCCAGGTCCACAAAGAGGCCCATTCATAGATCCAGACCCCTGAGTGTATCACTGGTCGCAGTAACAGACCCCAGGTCAAACAAACCGCAATTAGTCTCATATGTGCAATTATAAGCAAACCACCCCAGAAACACCAAGTTACAGAAACAGACAAAACCAACTTCTAAATGCTACGTCCTTATCACTCACCCCCAACTATCTTCTTTAGAGAGACCTCATCTCTCCCTACTACCGAACCCAGATTCCAGAGAACAAAAAAGGGTGCAGATGCCTGGCCAAGGCTAGAGGCAGTCGCATGCCCTGCCAGCAGGAATTGAATCTAGGGTCAGAGATGAGCCCCCCTTCCCTCAAGCAGTGCCAACCCCACCAAATCCCAGAGGCCGACCCGTGAACCCACAGCACCTTAACATGGTGCCCATCCATGTATCTCGTGGCGTCCCGGAATAGGCGGTAGGAGATGAAGCCGTGGGGGTCCACACTGTCAATGAGTGGAAAGGCAGTCTGGGGTGCGGAGGGAGAAAAGGTCAGGCTGAGCCTGGCCCTCCAGATCTCCATGCCTCCTGCCACACCGACCGTCCCTCCCCTGCCCCAGGGCCTCACCATGCCAGTCTCCGACGTAAAGATGACAATTTCATATAAAGGGGCAAGCTGCTGGAACAGGGTCTCGATGCCTGGGCGCTTCTTAAACCTCCAGCCAGTGGCCAGCTGGGGAGACCGTGAGGACAGTGAAACACCAAGACCCAGAGGCCCTCAGAGTCCCCAAGAGGACAAAGACCCAGCCTGGGGGATTCCCAGAACGGAGTTCTCTCCCTCTGTCTCTGTGGCTCTTGAAGGTTAAGGAGTACATGGGCTGTGACCGAGGGTCTGGGTCCCAGAACAAGAGCAGGCTCTTCTGTGGTACTCCAGCGTGCCTGGGCACACCTATATCACCCTACAGAGTGGGTGTTAGCATGACTGCCTTCTCCCAGCTGAAGAAAGCAAGGCAACGAGAGGTGACATCTCCTCCGCCAAGATCACATAACATGGCCAGGGCCAAAAGTCCACCTCATCACAACCCCACTGCCCAGGTCTATCCCCAACCCACTGCCTTCCCCGGGACACACCGACCACTCAGGATGCAAGAGGACACCGGTGAGCTCCAAAACGAGCGTATAGGGCGGCTGGTAGTACGGCTCCTGCAGAGGGTCTGGGAGAAGGCAAGGGCTGGTGGGCTCGATGATCATCTGTGGGAGAGGGACAGGATGGGGGCACTCAGACAAGGAGGCTAGGGCTGGACACACGGGGTCTGAGCCTAGGGCTTCTGCTCACCTGTCTGTAATCTTTGAAATATTTGTATGTCCGGCGCAACTGCTGTACCAGAATTGGATCTAGAACACCAGGCACAAAGAGAATCCACAATAAGCCGCTGCTCAACCTCCCAGACAAACCAGGGGTTTCTATGTACCAGATACAAACAGTTCTGCATACCCACCTGGTTTGAACCAACTCATTTCTAGGTCCAAAGGTAGAAGGCAATGACATAGCGCCAGATAGGAAGAGAGATTTATTTACCTGTCCCGTTTTATGCTGACACTTACATCCACACACTACCCCAGGTATGAAACAGAATGCTTATACACCGGCCCACTTAAAACCCAGACATAGAAATCTGCTGACAATACACCAGTGTATACATATATTTTTTATAGAGACAGGGTCTTGCTCTATTGACCAGGCTGGGCTTGAACCCCTGGGCTCAAACAATCCTCCCACCTTGGCCTCCAAAAGTGCTAGGATTACAGGCATGAGCCACCACATCTTCCCACTTTGAATCACTAGGCTTCCAGATCTGCCCACGTTAAGCCAGCATGCCAAATCTAAACCACAATGAATATGTAAACATATCTGTATACCGTAAACCAGTGGTTCAGAACTGGGAAGGATTTTGTCTTTCTACCTACCCCTGGGAAATTTGGCAATGCCTAGAGATATATTTGATTGTCGCAATGCTGGCATCTAGTAGGCAGATGCCCAGGATGCTTCGAAAATCCTTCCATGTACACAGCAGTCCTCCACAAGAATTATCTGGTCCAAAGTGTCAATGGGGCCAAGGGTGAAAAACCCAGGTTTAGGTGAATATATTGTCTTGTTTACTTTCTCTCGCGCTCTTTTTTTTTTTTGAGATGGAGTCTCCCTCTATTGCCCAGGCCAAGTGCAGTGGCATGATCTCAGCTCACTGCAACCTCCACCTCCTGGGTTCAAACAGTTCTCCTGCCTCAGCCTCCCGAGTAGGTGGGAATACAGGCACACACCACCACGCCCGGCTAGTTTTTTGTATTTTTAGTAGAGATGGGGTTTTACCATATTGGCCAGGCTGGTCTTGAACTCCTGACCTTGTGATCCACCCACCTCGGCCTCCCAAAGTTCTGGGATTACAGGCGTGAGCCACTGCGCCCAGTTACTTTTTCATTTTAGTTTATTTTTTTAGAGGTGGAGACTCATTCTGTCGCCCAGGCTAGAGTGCAGTGGTGAGATGACAGCTCACTGCAGCCTGTAACTCCTGGGCTCAAGTGATCCCACCTCAGCCTCCTGAGGAGCTGGGGCCACAGGCTGAAGGCCACCACTCCCAGCTAATGAATCCAGTATAAAACAGTAAACATACATGGCTGCCTACTTCAATACAGTGTTTTTAATGTAATACATGGGCCCATCTCTTAAAAAAACACAATATATTTGGCCAGGAGTGGTGGGTCACACCTGTAATCTCAGCACTTTGAGAGGCTGAGGTGGGCAGATCATGAGGTCAGATCAAGACCATCCTGGCTAACATGGTGGAACCCTGTCTCGACTACAAATACAAAAAATTAGCTGGGCGTGGTGGCAGGTGCCTGTAGTCCCAGCTACTCGGGAGGCTGAGGCAGGAGAATCTCTTAAATCCAGGAGGCAGAGGTTGCAGTGAGCCGAGATCACGCCATTGCACTCCAGCCCAGGCGACAGAGCAAGATTCCGTCTCAAAAAAAAAAAAAATTAGCTGGACGTGGTGGTATGGACCTGTAGTCCCTGCTACTCAGGAGGCTGAGGCACGAGAAACACGAACCTGGGAGGTGGAGGTTGCGGTGAGCCAAAATTGCGCCACTGCACTCCAGCCTGGGTGACAGAGCAAGACTCTGTCAAAAACAAAAACAAAAACAAAAAAACCCCACAATATCGAAAGCAGTTAGACTAGTAAACATATACACTTTAAACCTCCAGGTTTTCCTGCCCAAGTTAAATCAGCATAGTGATTTGTTGAAGCTAGCAAGATTCTAATCTGCCCAGTCAAACCAGCACTCACTCACCTGCCCAGTGTGAAAGACTGTATTAACATGACTGTTTGCAAATGTCCCCACATAAACAGGTGGCTTTCTGGATCCACCAATTTCATTTGACAAGACTGACAACTACTCTACTATCCAATTTGTCAGAAATTTCAGCACCAAAAGCTGGTTAACCAGATGGGGTGGGAGGAAGGAGGCATTGTTTTGAAAATGAGACTAATGGAGTAGGGGCTTGGGGGGGTTGGGTAAAGAGTTGGGAGCTGCAGATGCTCAGTCTAAGGCACAGGAACCCACGTGTCTGGAGATAGGCCACCCTGTGTCCCCAGGCCCTCCCACCCAAGGCTCCCCACCCCCATCTGTCCCTGACCATCTGCTCAGGGCTGAGGGGCCAGGGAAGTGGGCTTGGGCTTTGTAAAGTCCCTCCCCACAAAGCTATCCAGCTGCTGGCTCCCCAACCTCCCCAATGGAAGGAGGAGGGGCCAGAGACACCAGATGGGGAAAGACACATCCTTACAAATGACAGAGCTGAGAGGGTCGGGGACTCCAGAATCTGTGCTTGTTTACTCACCATTGTCGAATTCATCAGGAATCTGGGAGGTAGAGAGAAAAATGGAAGGTTTAGGATGTCAGAGGCAGAACCTCATCACACCCATAAAAGGAATCTCCAGGACCCCAAGAGGAATAAGCAAAGGTCCTTAGGAAAGAAAGGCTCACTCCAGACCAGCAATGAGCCTCAACAAACCAAAGGGGACCCCTCTCACCCACAGGCTAGGACTCCTGGCAAGGCCTCAGTCTCTTTTCCCCTCACCTTGGCACCTTTTTCGTCCACAGAGTTGTTTCCTGCAAGGGAAACCAGGATGAATATGAGGAATTGGGGTGCAGTCTCCTAGGTCCTGAGGGAGGAGTGGGATAGGAGGCCTGGACTCCTGGATCTGAGGGAAGAGAGTTAGAGGCACAGCCTTCTGGATTCAAGCCAGGAGGGGGCTGGGAGCCAAGATTCCTGGGTCTTTGAGAGAAAGGGGGCTGGGTCTGTGTCTCTTGAGTCTGAGGGATAAAGGAACTAGTGGGAAGGCTGGATTTTTGGGTGCTGAGGAAAGACAAAGTTTAGGAAGCTGATCTACGCCTATCCTTCCCCATCTTCCCCTCTTTCCTCTATCCTGGTACAGGAACCAACTAGAAAGACTAGAACCTTAAGAGGTAGAAGGGAGAAGAATTCCCTGGTTTTCAAAGGTAGGTGTCCTACTTGGCTGCCCTATGGAGGAGAGCCAGGGAATTAAGATGGAGAGGTTTGAGTGGGTAAGAGTGAGAGGTTCCACAGCGGACGAGGGAGGCAAGGAATAAAACTAGGGGGCAGCGATATGTCCCTCACCAAAGATATAGACGACGCTCACGGTCCCACCAGCTCCAAGCAGTCCAGCAAGCCAGAGAGCAACTTTTTTGGCATAGCTGGGACCCTCTGAGCCCGGCTGCTGCTGTGGCCCCTGTGCCTGAGTGCCCCCGCGGCTCCCGATCTCAGCGACCTGCGGTTGAGAAAGGGGAGGTCAAGAGAGAAGAGCTGATCGTTCCAGCATTCCAGTCCAAGAAGAATCAAGTTCAGGAGTCAAGAGGCAGACACCCACAGAGCCTGGACGTCTGTGTCCCTGGAGGGGCAGTCAGGAAGTGGGGCTGCTCAGAGGGTCAAAACCAGACTGTCCAGCGCCAGGATGCCAAGAGTTTTAAGAGCCAACAGGCCAGGTGCACAGGATCCTGCAGACAACACGACTAGAGGGTGTGGAGCCCGGAAAAGCAGATCAGGGAGAATAAGGGATGGGAAGGCCTAAACTCTGGGATGTGAAGGAACGCAGGGCACAAGGGGGAGGGGTGGGAGGGCGGGAAGGGGCAGACAGGACCGGGAGTTATGACATCTGGCTGCTTGGGGCTAAAAGGTAGCAGAGTACAGGGTAAGGGATGGGAGCAGAGGCGGCGAGAGGCAATCACTTGTCTGGGGCTTGGGGAACTAGGACACAGAAGTGATAGACTTGGAGGTCAGAATGGCTGGGTCTCTGACAACATGGAGGCAGGTCGAATTGGAAATCCAAACGTCTACCTCACCACCCTCACCACCACCACCACCACCTTGGGAGTAAAAATAACTCCCAAGGCCAGGCTGGGACTCCAGCGTCCCACTCCCCTCCTGCTCAAATAATCACCTGAGTGGTCACTGAGATGGGAAACAGGTAACCCCCTCCTCCTCCGGCGCCCACGTGGGTGGGAGGTGGGATCTGGAGGACACACCTGGGCCCCAGCCTCCAGGCCAGGGGAGCAAGTGCTATTCACCCAGGAGGCTGGGAAGGGGCCCAAAACCCAAGCGACGTTTTATTCAGCACCCTGAGGTGCGGCGTCCCAGAACCTCCAAGCCGCGGCGATATGTCCGTAACTCCAGGGAGGGGACCCCACATTCAGAGCGCCACCCTCGTTCCGCTCACCTGATCCGGAGCCCGGGGGGGCGGCGTCGCCAACCTCGTGCACAGTCCCCGCAAGCCTAGCCGGAGCCCGCTCCGCAAGCGCGATAACAGAGCTACCGAGGTCGCCATCTTGCGCTGACGCCACGCGGCCCCACCCACTTGCTCCCTTTATTCCCGCCCCGGGCCGGAGCTACAGCCAATGGGAACGCAGAGGAGGGGCGGGCGGACGGAAGCCCGAAATAGACCAAAGGCTTCGGGCGGATTGCCGCAGGCACGTTTGCCCCAACGATTCTGTTTGATGTCCCTGGGGGCACCAACTGGGATCCAAAGTCATCTGGACCACGCCCAACTTGGGCCGTGCGGAGCGCCACCGCCGAGGCAAAGGATGCAGCAAGGGAAGTGGTCAGATTGCCTAGAGGTAAAGCAGAGGCCATAATGAAGGGAATCATTGGCTGCCTGATTTGTCCCAAAAAAAGTCAGGAGTCAGGTCGCTTGTCTCACGTGTAAGGGCATCGGCCTTCGCCTCCCAATTGTCAAAAATGGAAACTGGGGCTTAGAAAGCGACCTGAAAAGCCAGTCCTCAAAACCTTCTGGCCAGGCGCGGTGGCTCACACCTGTAACCCCAGCACTTTGGGAGGCCAAGGCAGCGGATCATCTGAGGTCAGGAGTTCAAGACCAGCCTGGCCAACATGACGAAATCCCCGTCTCTACTAAAAAAATAAAAATTAGCCAGGAGTTATGGGGCGCCCCTCTAGTCCCACCTACTGGGGAGGCTGAGGCAGGAGAGGCAGAGGTTGCAAGGAGCCTAGATTGCGGCACTGCACTCCAGCCTGGGCAACAGGAGGCTCTCTCAAAATAAATAAAAATTAAAATTAAGGCTGGCGCAGGGGCTGCGCAGGGGCTCACGCCTGTAATCCCAGCACTTTGGGAGGCCGAAGCGGGTGGATCACCTGAGGTCAGGAGTTCCAGACCAGCCTGGCTAACATGGTGAAACCCCATCTCTACTAAAAAATACAAAAATTCTCCTGCCTCGGCCTCCCAAGTAGCTGGACTACAGGAGCCTGCCACCATACCCGGCCAATTTTTTTGTATTTTTAGTAGAGACAGGGTATCACCCTGTTGGTCAGTATAGTCTCAAACTCAACTCAAATAATCTGCCCCACCTCGGCCTCTCAAACTGCTGAGATTACAGGTGTGAGCCATCACGCTCGGCCTTAAATGTTTTGTTTTTTCTTTTTTTGAGACGGAGTTTCGCTCTTGTTACCCAGGCTGGAGTGCAATGGCTCGATCTCGGCTCACCGCAACCTCCGCCTCCTGGGTTCAAGCAATTCTCCTGCCTCAGCCTCCCGAGTAGCTGGGACTACAGGCGCACGCCACCATGCCCGGCTAATTTTTGTATTTTTAGTAGAGACGGGGTTTCATCTTATTGATGAAATGTTTTATAATACATTTACATTTGTAAAAAGACAGGAATATCTAATGAGGAAGGGAAGCAGGTTCTGGGTACTAAGCTCCAGTCTCTTTAAGATTGCACCCACTCCTGCCCCACGTCATTGGAAAAGCTACAGCAATCCTGCTGTCACTGCTGTCAGGGCTCAAGAGAATGGACCGCTGAGCACTGTAGCTCACACGTGTAATTGCAGCACTTTGGGAGGCCAAGGCAGGAGTATCACTTGAAGCCAGGAGTTCAAGACCAGCCTAAGCAATACAGTGAGACACATCTCTATAAAAAATATAAAAATTAAAAAGTTATCCAGGTGTGGTGAAGCATGCCTGTAGTCCCAGCTACTTGGGAGGCTGAGGCAAGAGGATTGCTTGAGCCCAGGAGGTTCAGGTTGCCTGGGCAACAGAGCGAGACCCCATCTCAAACAGAAAAGAAGGACCATCAGCTGGATGTAGTGGCTCACGCCTGTAATCCCAGCACTTTGGAAGGCTGAGGTGGGCAGATCACAAGGTCAAAAGATTGAGACCATCCTGACCAACATAGTGAAACCCTGTCTCTACCAAAAATACAAAAAAATTAGCTGGGTGTGGTGGCATGCACCTATAATTCCAGCCACTCAGGAGGCTGAGGCAGGAGAATCGCTTGAACCCGGGAGGCAGAGGTTGCAGTGAGTCAAGATTGTGCCACCACACTCAGGCCTGGTGACACAGCAAGACTCCATCTCAACTTTGCGCAGTGGCAGTATTGTAGCCAATGAGGTTTATCTGAGGCACGATTATTGCTCATTGAAAACTTTTCCCAATACCTCACCATGATGACTTAAAATATAATCAGCATTGGCAGTTTTTGGCAGTCTCAATTGGGACTCAATTAAAAAAAAAGAAAAAAGACTCCATCTCAAAAAAAAAAAAAAAAAAAAAACAGAAGAAAGAAAAAGGACCATCAAGCACTGTATCCTGCACTGCAGGAGGAATGTAGGTTTCCTGGAAGACACTGTGATTTTCACTCAGCATAATTCATGTCTGAATAAGATATGTCAGCAATCACGATAAGCTCTGCTCTGATCTCCTTCGGATGTCTTCTCACACACATTCCCCTCAAACGCCCTCTGGGGCAGGCACTATCACTATTACCTAGATGGGAAAACAGATTTAGGTAAGGCCCAGTTATTTGCCCAACCACAAAGCAAGGAAGTGGAGTGTGCAAATGACCCCACTTAAAATGAAGACACCCCATTCCCACAGCACACACAACACACACTCCCCCCAAGACTTTTAGACCAAACAGCTTTTTATTGAAAGACAGTACAACAAAAGCAACCTGTGGGAAGAAGATACAAGAAAGTGGGGACCCTCCCCCAGACTCTACTCAGATTCCCATGAGCACCAGGGAGGGAGAAGATGGAAAACTAGAAAGAGAAATAAAAAGAAATCCAGAATGATCGGCCTAGCCCTGAGGCGGGATCTGGTGTCACAGCCAAGGGCCAGGGAAGGAAGGAGGATCACTTTTCATCTGCCGAAGTTCACCTGCCCTGCCTGCTTCAGGCTTCCAGGAGCTTCCCCAGGAAGCGGAGGTTGAGGATCTTGAGCTGCTCATCCAGGTCCATACGGACAATGCCATCCTCACCATCGATGCTCAGCAGGACACCTGTGGCTTCCCGATCCTCGCCCAGGATCACTTTCACCTGGGGGTGGGGGTAATGTGGTCAGGGCCCATTGCAGTGCCCAACACCCCTCATTTCATCTCCTTGCCCCTTGCCCTTACCTTGTTGTTCTTGGTGGGGGTGATGGGCTCCAGGTGCTCACTGGAAATGCTGACAACCTTCTCACTGTCCTTCAGGTACACAGAGCACATGCCGCCCTGGAGGATGGGGACAGCCTGGTCAGCCTGTCCTGCTCCCAACACGGACTGAGGCCCACACTCCAGGGGACACAGGCTCAGGGCTCATTCTGAAAACTCAAGGTGAAATGGGGCAGGAGAGGCCACAGCTGGGCCTGGTTCCAAGGCCTGGGGCCTGTGGTGCATGTCAGCGTCGGGAGACAGGGGTGACCCAATCAGCAAGAGAAGCATCAGAATGAAGCTAACAGGCAAAAAAAAAGATTGCTTCTTGACTCTTCATGTCCCAAACTGGCCTCAGCATCCTCCCTGAACCTGCTCCTCTTCCTGGACCTGGTCTCAGGCCCCACCAGAGCACTGCACTTCATCTTGGTCACCTCCCTCACCAACATGATCCAGGCTTTGAGGCCTGGCCATTCAGCCTGTAAGGATCTCTCCTACCTGCCTCCTGCCTCTTCTGCACAGCCCTGCCCTAGTCTAGCCCAACCTCCTCCTGGGCTCCTGGCCCAGTCTCCCAACCCCCAATGGATCACTGATAGGGCAACATGGAAAATTCATTCCACGCCACAGATCTGCTCCCACCACTCTCCTGCTTAGATTCCTCCATGGCTCTCCGGCATCCTCTGGACAGGCCGGGTCCTCCAGGCTGGCACACGACAGGGCCCCAGACAGCTCTCTGGCCTTATCATTCACCTTCCCTTCAGCTTTTTTTTTGTGAGAAGTCTTGCTCTATTGTCTAGGCTGGAGTGCAGCAGTGCCATCTCAGCTCACCACAACCTCCACCTCCCATGTTCAAGCGATTCTCCTGCCCTGAGTAGCTGGGATCACAGGCATGTGCCACCATGCCTGGCTGAATTTTTTTTTTTTGTATTTTTAGTAGAGACAGGTTCTCACCATTTTGACCAGGCTGGTCTCCAACTCCCGACTTCAGGTGATCTGCCCACCTCGGCCTCCCAGTGCTGAGATTATAGGCATGAGCTACTGCCCAGCCCCCTTCGGCTCTTTATGTTACAGCCACAACAAAAACTTCCACTCCAGGAATGTGCCCAGGTTCCCCTCACCTCCTGGCCTCTGCACATGTGGTTCTCTCCATTTGGAACATTCTCAACCCAGTCATTTTTCTTAGCTTACTCCTATTCATTCTTCAGGTCTTGGCTCAAATGTCTCCTTCCCCAGGCAGCCCTCCCCAGTTCCCCACTAAATTGTGTAAGGTGCCTCCTCTGGGCTTCCTCCATCCCAGCTCTGCCCACTCTGGGCTGTCACCGTCTGAGGACACGTCTGTCTCCCCTGGTGGAATGTGAGATCTTTGAGGACAGGGCTTGGAGCTGCACTGGTCTCTGGTGTTTAATTTGATTAATATTTATTAGAGAGCCAACAAGGTGCCAGTCCTTCACCTAGGAAGTGGGGCTTCTGAGGAATCAAACACAGGCTTTGTCATCAAAGAACTGCACCAGGAGGCCGGGTGCGGTGGCTCACGCCTATAATCCCAGCACTTTGGGAGGCCGAGGCGGGTGGATCACGAGGTCAAGAGACCGAGACCATCCTGGTCAACAAGGCGAAACCCCGTCTCTACTAAAAATACAAAAATTAGCTGGGCATGGTGGCTCGTGCTTGTAATCCCAGCTACTAAGGAGGCTGAGGCAGGAGAATTGCCTGAACCCAGGAGGCGGAGGTTGCGGTGAGCCAAGATCGAGCCATTGCACTCCAGTCTGGGTAACAACAGTGAAACTCTGTCTCAAAAAAAAAAGAAAAAAAAAAAAAAAGAACTGCACCAAGGCAAGCTTTAAGCTTTCAGGCAACAGGGAGATTAACATGAAGAATTACACAGACCTGCCAGAGACAGACCAAAGACAGCCCAGGTACTTCCCTCAAGGGAGTCTGTCTCTAGACAAATAATGGGACCAGGCACGGTGGCTCACACCTGTAATCCCAGCACTTTGGGAGGCTGAGACAGATGGATCACGAGGTCAGGAGTTCGAGACCAGCCTGGTCAATATGGTGAAACCCCATCTCTACTAAAATACAAAAAGAAAATCAGCGGGGCATGGTGGCATGTGCCTGTAGTCCCAGCTACTCGGGAGGCTCAGGCAGAACTGCTTGAACCCAGGAGGCGGAGGCTGCAATAAGCAGAGGTCACAACACTGCACTCTAGCCTGGGTGACAGAGGGAGACTCCGTCTCAAAAAAAAAAAAAAACAGAATAAAAGAAAGACATAGGAAAGTATATGTGCAAAGGCCCTGAGGCTGGCGGAAAATCGGTGAGTTTGTGGAAGGCAGCCCAGGGGTGTGGCTGCCTGATGCTAAGCCCAAGCCTCGCACACAGAAGTAGCATTCAGTACATTTTACTGAGTTGCTCTCTCAAAGAAGTATGTCAAAAAGTAACCACACTTCTGTGTGCCACATACTGTTCCAGGCAAATGGGCCCCAACTGTATGCAAAAAAGGCAGGACTGAGCAGAGCGAGCTAAAAATCCCTGCCCTCCAACCTGGATAACACAGGGAAGCCCCAGCTCTACAAAAATACAGAAAATTAGCTGGGTGTGGTGGCATGCGCCTGTAGTCCCAGCTACTTGGGAGGCCGAAGTGGAAGGATCAGTTGAGCCTGGGAGATGGAGGCTGCAGTGAGCTGTGATCATACCACTGCACTACAGCACGGGTAATAAAGTAAGCCTCTGTCTCAGAACAAAACACACAAAACAAGTCCCTGCCCTTGCGGAGTTATCAAATACATTCCCATCTTTCCTACATCTGTTTTTTCAGCTACAAATGGAGACTTGCTCAAGTCTGTAATGCCAGCACTTTGGAAGGCCGATGCGGGTGGATCACCTGAGGTCAGGAGTTTGAGACCAGCCTGATCAACATGGTGAAATCCCATCTCTACTCAAAATACAAAACTCAGCCAGGTGTGGTGGCATGCACCTGTAATCCTAGCTACCCAGGAGACTGAGGCAGGAGAACTGCTTGAACATGGAAGGTGGAGGTTGTAGTGAGCCTACATCACACCACTGTACTCCACCTGGGCAACGGAAAGCAAATCCATCTCAAAAAAAAAAAAAAAAAGGAGACTTGAACATGCAGTTAGTTAAAAAATAAAGTAATCACAGAGTATAGGGGGCACCAAGGTGAGGATGCCTGCCCACCCAGCACCCTGGGCCCCACGTACCGTGACACTGCGGATGACACCTGTCTGTCCCACCACCTGTGTGTCCAGGTAGGTATCTCGCACCTTCACCTGAATGTCAGTGGTTACCCAGTCGCTGGAGTTCTGCTCGATGCCCGAGCCTGGCGTGTGAGGGTTGTAGCCACCAGGGGAGGGAGCTCCAGGTGTCATAGGACTGTAGCCAACAGGGCTTGGACTGGGGCTAGCCTGCAGGGAAAAGAGGAGTATCCTTGGGAATGGTCGCCTGGCCTGGCCGACCCTATAGGCCTGAGGCCACCCCAGCCCACCACCCTCAAGGGCAGGCAGGCAGACCATTACCTGATAGGCCATGGGTGAGGGTGTAGGGTGGTAGCTGGCCGGGGAGTGGGTGTTCTGGTAGCCTGCTGGGCTTGGCGCCACCTGGTGGTAGCTCTGGGGGCTGGGGCTGGGCTGGTAAGAGCCTTGTGGGGACGGGGCAGCATAGGGAGAGAACTGGTCTGTGTTATACCTGCAGAGACAGGAGAGAAGGGAACATTTGTTGGAGCAGGGAGGGGAAAGGAGGCAGTGGGAGGGTTTGGGCAGGGGTAGATGAGGGCAGGCCCCAGCGGACTCACATGGCCGGCGTCCCTGGCGTCTGTGGGTTGTATTGTGGGTTGACCTGTGGGGATGAGGGGTCGGGGTAGCCAGGTGTTTGGGGATTGGGGGTTCCCCCATAGGCCTGCGGGGACGGGGTAGGCTCGTCATCGAAGGCATACTCATATTCTTCTTCAGCCCTGTTGAGAGAAAGGTCTGTTGAGAGCAACTGTGGTGATAATGTGGTGGATGCTTATAGAATAGCACCCTACACCAGACCCTGAACGGAGGGAATTTCATTCTCATGAGAGCCTCATTCAGAGGAGCTCCTGATGTTATTTCCCTTCCACAGCCGAAACTGTGGCGCAGAGAGATGAGGGTACCCACCCAAAGGTACCCCACCCAGGATCTTTCTCCAAGCCCAGGGGTACCCACAATCACTACTGAGGCTGGGGCTAGAGAGGAGGCCGCTTTTCCCCAACTCTGCCATGCTATGCCTCCTCCTTCAAAGGCACCAGCCTGGGGCTGGGAGCGGAGAATGCTGCATGGGCCCCACAAAGCCCTCCATCCCCCAGACACCCAGTGTGACCCCTCACGAATACCAGCACACACCAGAACCTGGAGAACCCTGGACTCACCGTGACGGCGTGTTGGGGTTGTTGGGGTCCCAGGCCCCACTCTGCGCAGGAGTGCGGCTGCCATCATGCAGGGGCGTCTGCGAGCCGTAGTGTGGGGTGCGGCTGCCTGGAATGTGGGAAATGAGTGTGTCTATCAGTCCTGTCCCTTCTCTAGGCACCCCAGCCCTCCTCCCTGTCCCCTGCAGGCACTCACCATCCTGGAGGGGTGTCTGTGAACCATACATGGGCGTTCGGGAGCCAGAGCCATACATGGGCGTCTGCGAGCCATACATGGGCGTCCGCCCATAGGTCGAGGTCATGCCGCCCGGGCGCCGAGAGCCCCTGTAGACGCAGAGAACAAACCCAGTGAGCAGGACCCTCTCACTGCCCAACAAGCCCCACCCTTGCCCTCCCTAGGCCCTGCCCGTACACCGTGGTGAGCCGCTGACGGTCCACAGAGATGGTCTGGCAGGTGGAGTGCAGCTCCACGCGGGCTGTGGACTCTGTGGCATCCTTCACCACACCGATGTAGCCTGGTAGGGGGCAGGAGGTCAGGCCGGGTAGGCTCTCCTTCACCACGCCCCTCCCCAGGCCTCCACAGGCCTTGCAGGTCACCTTTGTAGGGCCCCTGGGAGATGCGCACAGTCTGGCCGATGAGCTCGTTGTCCCTCCGGCCCCGGCCCCTGCTCATGCTGCCACTGCTGCCACCTGGGCTACCAAAGCCGCCACGCTGACCTGGGGATGGGAGGAAATGTCACTGGTTCCCCATGGCTATGCCCACAGCCAAGACACCATCAGAATGACCCCTTCACTTGCTTGACTCCTCCCTACTTGTGTTAAGAGCCTCCCCTGCCCACCCCCTGCCCCTCACCTTTCCTATGGAAGCCCTGACCATTCTGGGCCATCACTGCAGGGTCTACCCTCCTGAGGGTGGTGAATCCCCTAATAGCAGGGCCCAGCCCAGTGAAGGCACTCACTGTGGGCTGAACAACCAAGTTCCTCCCAGCCCTCTCTACCCCCCACATTCCCATACCCTGAACCCCTCACCTCCAGCACTGGGGTGCATGGGGCTGCTGATCCGGGGACTCATAGGCGCAAAGCCACCCACGGTGAAGTTGGTCACATCACGTGGCTAGCAGAGAGGCAAGGAGTGAACTGTTGTGCAGGGGATGGGGTGGGAAAGCCTGGGTGACAGCTCCCAGTCCCCACACCACACTGAATGCCTCCACGTGGGAACAGCTCCTGCAAGGATCTGCCTTGTCGCCACCTCTGCCTCCTTCTGGTAGCAATGCCTAATTTGCTTTGGGGAAACTGCCACTCCTCTATCATTGTAAGCCTGTCAATCAAGAGGCCTGGGCTTCCACTGGCCAAGGAGCAAGACTAAAACATGGCTAGTTAGGAATTTAAGCCTTTAGAGACACAAAAACCACAAACCACAGGAACTCAGCATCCCATCTGCAGGGCCCTGAGGAGACCACCCAGCTGCCCACGCCCCAAGCCTGAGTTCCTCTGTGTCCTGCACAACTGTCCTACGAGCCCACCTCAGGGCCTTTGCTATTCTACCAAAACGCTCACTCTCCATCCCATCATTCAGGTCTCTGATCCAACGTCGACTCCCACAGAGGCCTTCTTTACCCTCCTCTGTCTAAGCAGCAGCCCTGGCGCTCCCTGTCTCCTGAGCCCATTCTGTTTCCTTCACAGCGCTTGCCATCACCTCACACTGGACGGTTTATCTGTCCGTCCATCTCTGGAGTACCTGCTCTGGGACAGCAGAGTCTTTTCTTTTCTTTTTTTTTGAGACTCCAGCTCTGTTGCCCAGGATGGAGTGCAGTGGCACCATCTCAGCTCACTGCAAGCTCTGCTTCCTGGGTTCAAGCGATTCTCCTGCCTCAGCCTCCTGAGTAGATGGGATTATGGGTGAGCACCACCATGCCCGGATAATTTTTGTATTTTAAGTAGAGACAGGGTCTCACTACGTTGGCCACGCTGGTCTCGAACTCCAGACCTTGTGATCCGCCCGTCGTGGCCTCCCAAAGTGCTGGGATTATAGGCATGAACCACCATACCCAGCCTAGCAGAGTTGTTTTTTGTCTTGTTCACCACTGGTTCTCCAGTGTCTGGCACCTTACAGGTGCTCAGTAAAATGAAATGAATAACTTGGTGAACAGCTCAGAATCCCAAATAAACTTTCTCACTCTTTGCCAAGGACCTGACAATGACACTTGCTCTCCTAATCCCTCACAAGCCCAATCTCGTTACTTCTGGGGCCAGGGGAGGCTAGAGAGCTGAGCCAGATACCCAATGCACAGGTTCCCGCCATGCCCACCTCACCTTCGAGCCCCCAGCCAGCACCAGGTGGCGGGTCTTGCAGACAAACATGCCCCCATTCTCCACCAGCTTCTTGCAATGTAGGAAGGCAAAGCTGCGGAAGAGATGGCGAATCTCCCCCTCTCGGCCCTAGCCAGGGAGAGAAGGGTCACGCTTTTGACCATGTCCCTCTCACCCTCGACCAACCAAATACTTTCAGATACAGCTCAAAGGCAGGAACTTGTACTCACTGAGTGGGGGCCGTCAATGACCTTGACGATGTCTTTCACATGGATGTTGTTCTGCTCTGAGTCCAAGGCCACAGCAAAGCGGTTGTCCTTCTTACGGGTCACAGCCTGATGCCTGACCGTCACCACCTTCCCGTACATGTTCAGCACCTATGGAGGGAGAGCAGGGAGACTGTGGGGTAAGAATGGGAAGGGGAGATATGGGACAGGGGTTCCCTAAAGTGGGATGATCCTTCCTTGTGGGAGACGATCCCAAGTTCTACAGGGCATCTCAACTCCCTGGCTACAGGAAGGGCAGGCAGGCAGGGTGCCACCCTTTAGGTACTAAGTCAACCAGCAATGTTCCCCGTCATTCTAAAATACCCTTTGCAAGGAGACTACACCCCCTGATTGGGCAACAGGAACCTGACAGATGGAGGAAGGGGCTGATAGCAAAATAATAGCTAATTGTTCACCCATTACTCTGTGTCAGGCCCCTAAGATTTCACTGAAGCCTCAAAACTTCCTCTGAGATGGATTCTATCATGATTTCCATCTTACAAAGGGAAACTCAGGCTCAGAGAGGGTGAGTCACTAGCCCAGGGTCACATAGCACAGAAGCAACAGAGCCAAGGTGAAAGTGGAGTCCAGGGTCCTAAGTACTGTGCTCCATGACTCCCACATCCGTGAGTAAGGGGCAAAAGCAGCAGGGCACATGTGGCACTCCATCCTTGAGTGAGGCCAGCCACCAGGGTACATATCTAACCTCAGGGGAGCATTCACTATGAACAGAGTAGATGCTGCTCTCATTTCCATTTTGTAGGCTGTGAAACAGGCACAGGGAGGATCAGTGGCTTGCCATGTGCCCACTATCAGCCAGTCAGATATGAGTGACAGAGCCAGGTCTGCAACCCAGAGGAGTCTGGGGGCTCTGCCACCTCCCAGGATGAGAAGCTGAGGGACAGGAAGGCTCCTAAAAGCAAGTCTCCACCACAGAGCACAACACACATACCTGGAAAGTCTCCCGCTCTAGTCGCACGATGACGCCCACAGTCTGGGGGTCTAGCTGCACCAGCTCGCCCCATTCATGCTGGCCCCCAACATCCACACCCGATGCTGTCTCCGAGCAGAGCTGCAGGTCGCGAGGGAGCACCTTCAGCTGCCGGGGAGTGTGAAATGGGTGAGGCCTGGTCCAGGTAGCTCACCTGCCTGGGTCTCCTCTTGGCACATCGCCTTCCCCCGACCCTTCCATCCACCTACCTCATGCATGGTGAGGTCAGAGAACAGGATAACAAAATTCTCCTCCACCCGCACGATGAGGCCTGTGTCGCCCTCGAATCGGCCGGCAATTACCTTCACATGGTCCCCCATCTTGAAGTATTTCCGAAGTTCCTGGGCTGGGAACTCCAGCATGTCCTGGGGGATTGGGTGTGAGGACAATGAGCAGGTGAGTGAGGGGAGACCACCACAACCTGACTGTCTCTCCTGTCTTCAGAATCCACTCATGTCCTCAAAAAAACACTCCAGGCTCACACCACCCACCCCAGACTACCTTAGGCCACCTGGCTGATCCCTCAGACTGCACCAGAAACAGCTGACCCCAGACACAGGACACCAACCTGGACAACCTTTACCCACAGAGACAGCTCTTTACCCACAGAGAGACAGTCTGCCCTTGAGACACATGAGGCCTGCCTGGACCCACACAGAGAGAGCCTGCCCCTCAGACACAGGACCCCTGACTGGACAGCTTCTCAGCCCCACCCTGACACAGCCTCACCCCACACATCACATTGTGCCTGCACAACCCCTCAGACATCACACACACACACACACACACACACACACACAAAGCCAACAAAACTAAGCACCTACCTCAGATTACTCCATTACACTCTCAACTCGGTACTACCCAGATGTCTTGCTTTTCAGAAACAAGACAGACCAAGTCACTCTCCAGAGACACATACAACCAGGCAGGTCTGCCGGTGATGTGGCCACAAATCAGGACACACCTCTTGGATGTCCATTTCTTCCTTATTTATTTATTTGACAAAGTCTCGCTCTGTCACCCAGGCTGGAGTGCAGTGGCACAATCTCGGCTCACTGCAACTTTCCACCTCCCTGGTTCAAGCAATTCCCCTACCTCAGCCTCCCAAGTAGCTAAAATTACAGGCGCACGCCACCACACTCAGCTAATTTTTTATTTTCTGTAGAGACAGGGTTTCACCATGTTGACCAGACTGGTCTCGAACTCCTGATCTCTGGCAATCTGCCCACCTTGGCCTCCCGAAGTGCTGGGATTACAGGCATGAGCCACTGCGCCCGGCCTCTTCCTCCTTTAAATGTCCACAAGCAGGCATTGACACACACCGTCCTCCCTCACACTCAGGAAAGAAATGTTGAACACACACCCCATATATGTGCAGCCCAGTCATCCCCAAAGATACACACCCTAGCAGTCCCCTGGGGACAGAAAGGACCTACCTGCCAGGCCCCCCAAAATGTAACCAGACATCCTTTTCTCCAAATCACAAAACCAGGCCTGCTGCCCACCGACCCCAAGCTGCACTCAGAGTCTCTCAGGCACCTGAGAACACTAGAAGGGCCTCAACTTACCCCCCTGGAAACCAGGTGTCACCAGGCACACCGCCACCTGGACAGCCACATACAGTCAGACGTCCCTGAACACTGGGCACCTACCTTGAGGTCTTCATGCTTGGGCATGATGGTGATCTTGTTGCCATCCACGCTGAGGATCTTGCCCTGCAGGTTGATGAGCTCACCCTCACAGACCTCTACATTGTCCCCAGGTTGGAAGTTGTGCTCCCGCTCCTTCCCTGCAGGGGCAGCAACTCAGCTGATTCAGGGGCTGCCACAGGCCGCCCCTGCCCCTTAGCCCAGGTTACAGAAGGAGTCAAATACCTGTGCTCTCAGTCACCACCTCCAGGTCGATGCCCTCTGGCTGGTCCTCAAACTTCTCCAGTTCAGAGAGTGTTGGCTTCACACCCTCCGTGATCTAAGCCCCCAGGGGAGAGGGGAAGAGAAGGAAATGGCCCAAGGTCAGTGCAACAGCCCAGCTGACTGGGCTGGAAAGATGGTTAGGGAACACTCCTAACTTGAGGAGTGGGACAGACCCAGATAACCCACAGCCCAGGTCCTGGCCTGCACCCCACCCTCATTACCAGTGCCCCTCCTGTCTGGGACCCTCACCACGGCAGACATGGCGAAGCTCTTGAACAGAAAGCCCTTCCGGCTGTAACGGTTCCCCTCAAAGATGAGGAAGTCACCATCAGAGGCAACATCGCCCCCCAGGGACCTGGGATTTTATGGGGAGAGAAGATTAGAAGGGAGGGTCAAGAAGACAATCTTACTGTACCTGTCTTCTCAGCTGGCAACAGAGGGAGAGGACCACAGGCGGACTGACCCATGCCATCCCAGCACACACCCTCTTGGCAGCAGTGACTTCTCACAAACCTCAAAGGCCCAGCTCCCTGTACTCCTCCACTCATTCCCTGATTTATCTTTCACCAGAGCACTGATCACCATCTGACAAGCTAGTGTTTGACCTGTCCCCCTAACTAGCATGTCAGCTCCAGAAGGTCAGGGATGTCACAGTCACTAAATTTCACCAACAACAGTGCCTGGTACGCAGGAGGTGTGCAGTAAATATTAGCAGAACAAAGTGACAGTATCAGACAATGACACCAGTTAATATTCACAGAGCACTCGAGCCTGGCCTGCACATTCAGGACCTCACAGACCTCCCCAAATCTGTGACATCAGTAACTGCTCATTTCCAGGTGAGGGAATGTAGGCTCAGGAAGGTCACACCACACGCCCAAGGTTGCCAAGCCAGAGGATTCAAAAGCAGGCAGGTGGGACTCCCAAACATGTGGCACCTTGGCCCTGAATGTGGAGTGGGGGCCACTTCGTGTCTATTCCATGTCTCCAGGGTGGGGAAGAAGCCTTCTCCACTCTCCAAAAGGGAAACATATGGGAGGAGCAGGTCAAGTTCTTCCTACACTCACGCAATCGCTCTCCCATGGTGAATCTGGGAGGGGGGTCGGCATGCTCTGCAGAGCATGTTGGGGTAGTTGGTCAGCTGGCTTGCTGGGGGGTGGGGAGGGGAGCATTACGGTTTGCTCTTTGCAAAGAGGTGCAGTTGAGTCAAGACCAGTGGTATAAATGGGTCCAAACTCAGGCAGGTGAAGTATTAGCAAGGCCCTTGGTGCAGACTGAAAGGCGTATTCCACAGCTCTCCTGTTTTCAGACGGAGTCTTGCTTTTGTTGTCCAGTCTGGAGTGCAATGGTATGATCTTGGCTCACTGCAACCTCCGCCTCCCAGGTTCAAGTGGTTTTCCTGCCTTAGTCTCCCGAGTAGCTGGGATTACACGCATGTGCCACCATGCCCAACTAATTTTGTATTTTTAGTAGAGATGGGGTTTCTCCATGTGGTCAGGCCGGTCTCGAACTCCTGACCTCAGGTGATCCACCCACCTCGGCCTCCCTAAGTTGGGATTACAGGCATGAGCCACCATGCCCAGCCACCTCTTCCTTTATCTGAAGGAAAACCTGACTGGCTGAACTACATAAATTTAGTTCCAGAACAGGACCAGAGGGAAGCATGTCACTGGCACCTCTTGTTTCTCCATCGCCTCCTCTCCTGCCCTTCCTGCCAGAGCCCTCAGTTGGCCCTGGAATGTTGAAATTCCTAGGCTGCTGCTCCAATTCTCTACCCAGCTGGGGGATCCGGGAGGCATTTGAGGGAAAGGGGCTCCATATCCCCCATCTCAAGTGGGCATAAGCAGATCAGGAAGCCTGACAGAGTAAATTCCATTTCAATATGTCACACCATGGATCACACTTACTATGTGCCAAGTGCATTCTGGGCATATACACACACTAATTTATTGAATTCTCACTACAGTCTATAATCTGAGGAAGCAGAGGCTGTTTTCCTCAATCTTTTTAAATATATTTTTTAACTTTTTCTTTTTATTATTTTTATTTTTAAAGATGGGATCTCACTATGTCACCCCTTGCTTGACGAGGCTGGCATCAAGCAAGCCTCCTGCCTCAGCCTGCCAAAGTGCTCCCTCCCACTGCACCCAGCCTCATCAGTCTTTTGGTTTTTTTGCTTGGTTGGTTTTATTTTATTTTTTTTGAGACGGAGTTTCGCTCTTGTTACCCAGGCTGGAGTGCAATGGTGCAATCTTGGCTCACCGCAACCTCTGCCTCCTGGGTTCAGGCAATTCTCCTGCCTCAGCCTCCCGAGTATCTGGGACTACAGGTGTCTGCCACCACACCCAGCTAATTGCTTTATTTTTAGTAGAGACAAGGTTTCACCATGTTGACCAGGATGGTCTGGATCTCTTGACCTCATGATCCACCCGACTCGGCCTCCTAAAGTGCTGGGATTATAGGCGTGAGCCACCGCGCCCAGCCTTGTTTTTGTTTTTTTTTTGAGACAAATTTTCATTCTTGTTGTCCAGGCTGGAGTGCAATGGCTTGATCTGATCTTGGCTCACCGCAACCTCTGCCTCCTGGGTTCAAGTGATTCTCCTGCCTCAGCCTGCCAAATAGCTGGGATTATAGGCATGTACCACCACACCAGCTAATTTTTGTATTTTTAGTAGAAACAGGGTTTCTCCGTGTTGCTCAGGCTGGTCTTGAACTCCTAACCTCAGGTGATCCACCCACCTTGGCCTCCCAAAGTGCTGTGATTATAGGTGTGAGCCACCATGCCCAGCCCATCAATCTTTATAGCAGAGGAAACTGAGGCACAGCAATGTGAAGTGACTTGCCTGGGGCTATATGTCAGGCTAACCTGTGGCGGGGCCATCCCTGTGGAGGAACCTGCAAAAGGCACATTCTGCACACCAGCCCTGGGGACCCAGCCCAGCCAGTCCCCAAGGACACCCACCTGATCTTCTCAGCATCAAACAGCCTCTGCGGAGGCCGCTTAAACTTCTTCCTTTTGGCAAACCAGTCTTTCTATGGAGGAAAGGGGCATGGGTGGGAAGGGTGAGGGAGTGGGACTTGGCCACCAGCGAGATGGAGTGTACCCCTTCCCCCAAGGCCACAGATTCCCCCAAGTACCAAGCTCATGCGGGCCTTGATGCGATCGTAGTCAATGCGTGGGACCATCTTCAGGGAGATGGTGTTCTGGCTAGGCTCCACGTAGTCCACCTGAGCAAAGTGAGCAGGGTGTCAGCAGGGCCCCACCCTCCTTCCTGACCCCAGACACAAGAAGGGCCAGGAGATGCTAGGAAGGAGAAGGGACACAGGATGGTGGGGAAAAAACCAGGCGGCTGACAACTTCCAAAAGTCCCACTCTAGCCTGTCTGTCCCCTCAACTCTGGCACTGAGGAGCCACTGCCTACTAGATATCTCCACCTGGATGTCTAAAGGTCCCTGAAATCCAGGACAATTGCAGCCAAAGCGCTGATTTCCCCACACCTGCCCCTTCTGGCCGCATCCCACTCCGTTCTTCCCTCTGCTCAGGCACACAAGTTGGGAGCCACGCTTGACTCCTTTCTCCTACACCTACACCTGATCTGTCAGCAAATTCCAGCAGCTCTGCCTTCAAAATACCTGACCTCTTCCCCTTCTCCACTGCAGTCTCAGCATTCCAAATTCAAAACACAGAATGCTCAAAAACTGGAAAACTTCTGAGCACCAACATAATGCTCAAAGGAAATGCTCACTCTCAGATTTTCAGATTTGGAATGCTCAACCAGTAAGCATAATGCAAATATTCCAGGAGCTGAAAACATCTGAAATCTGAAAAACACCTCTGGTCTCAAGCATTCAGGTAAGATCTGTATCAGGGTCTTGGTCCCATCCCACCAGCACTGCTACCTGCACTCTAGCAGCAACCTCCTGCCCGGAGCCCAGGCTATTCCAGGCTATTCCAGGCCCCGCCCCCAAGCTACTCCAGGGTTTCTCAGCCTTGGCACTACTGGCTTTTTGGGCCAGGTAATTCTTTGCTGTGGGCAGCCATCCCGTCCATGTCTCTAGCATTTCTGGGTTTAACCCGCTAGATGCCATAAGCATCAACCCCCTCCCCAGCTGACATAACCGAAAATGTCTCCAGACATTACCCTGGGGAAACATCGCCCTGACTTCAGAACCAGTGGTCTAGTCTCAACACAGTCACCAGAGAAATCTTACTAACACTCAAGTCAGCCTGTGCCCCTTAGAGCCCTCCCATCCCACTCCAGTGAACACCAAAGCCCTCCAATGGGTTGCAAGGCCTTGTGAGCTCCCTGACTCATCTCCCACCATCCCTGCTGTGGCCAGTGACCGTCCCATCCTATCTCATAGGCCACTCCTGCTGCTCCTGCTGCCTACAACACTCCTCCCCAAGAGCTCCACATGCCTCACGGCATCCGCTCTTTCAGCTCTTTACTCAACACGCCTGAGAATGTGCACAGAAGACAGCCATCTGTTTTCTGTGTGCTCACAAAACCCAGACTCTGCTTCAGCTCATCTAAGTGGGGTTCTATTCTCTGCAGCAGAAAGAGCATGGGAAGGACAAAAGGAAAAGAAGGGAGAACAGAATGGAGAAACCCTGACTCCCATGCCGCCCCGCCCCCTGGCACCTGAGCAATGTCATCCTTGTAGATTCCCCGCTTGAGGCGGACCCAGGACTTTGGTTTCAAGTTGGCCACCTCTTTCACCACTTTGAGCACGTCTGTCATCTCCTTGATGGGCACCATCTGCTGGTTCCAGTAGCCAAGCCGCAGGTTGCCCACCCCCTCGATGGCCTGCTTCACATGGGTCTGCTTGTAGGCCTCTACGTAGATGTAGCCCTTCACATGCTCTGGTGCCACTACTGACTTGATCTGCAGGGGCTGCAGGTGAGCAGGGGGAAGGAGGAAACAGTGAGACACGACTGCTAATAACAGAAATGACTGCCACTGATCAGCAGTCCCTCTGCTAGAGTTCATCCCACAGGAACACACTGGCGCAAAGACATGGACACAAGCGTATTCCCTGCAGAATTATTTATTACAGCAAACAAACCGGTCTGGAAATTTTAAATCCAAATATAGTAACTAGTTAATTTATGGCTTAACTGTGCCATGAAATACAATGTTGCAGTTAAAAAAACAAACAAAAAGATGGGATGAGGCTCTATGTGGTGGCTCATGCCTATAATCCCAGAACTTTGGGAGGCCAAGATGGGCAGATCATCTGAGCCCAGGAGCTTGAGACAAGCCTGGGCAAAATGGTGAAACCCCATCTCTACAAAAGATGCAAAATAGGCCAGGCACAGTGGCTCACACCTGTAATCCCAGCACTTTAGGAGGCCAAGGCGGGTGGATTACAAGGTCAGGAGATCAAGACCATCCTGGTTAACATGGTGAAATCTTGTCTCTACTAAAACTATACACACACACACACACACACACACACACACACACACACACTATCTGGGCATGGTAGCACATGCCTATAGTCCCAGCTATTTGAGAGGCTGAAGCAGGAGAATCACTTGGACCCAGGAGGGAGAGGCTGCAGTGAGCCGAGATCACGCCACTGCACTCCAGCCTAGGCAACAGAACAAGACTCAGTCTCAAAATAAACAAATAAATAAAAACAAAAATACAAAAATTAGCTGAGCATGGTGGCACATGCCTATAATCCCAGCTACCTGAGAGGCTGAGACAGGAGAATAGCTTGAATATGGGAGGTGGAGGTTGCAGTGAGCTGAGATTGCACCATTGCACTTCAGCTTGGGCAACAAAAGTGAAACCCTGTCTCAAAAAAAAAAAAAAAATTAGCCAGGCATGGTGGCATGTGCCTATAATCCCAGCTAACTACTTGGGAGGCTGA